CCCATAGTGAAGTAGTTAACAATATAATGACAATATCCCGTAGTGAAGTAGTAAACAATATAGTGACAATATCCCGTAGTGAAGTAGTAAACTTAGTTAACAATATAGTGACAATATCCCGTAGTGAAGTAGTAAACAATATAGTGACAATATTCCACAGTGAAGTAGTTAACAATATAATGACAATATCCCGTAGTGAAGTAGTAAACAATATAATGACAATATTCCATAGTGAAGTAGTTAACAATATAATGACAATATCCCGTAGTGAAGTAGTAAACAATATAATGACAATATTCCACAGTGAAGTAGTAAACAATATAGTGACAATATCCCGTAGTGAAGTAGTAAACAATATAGTGACAATATCCCGTAGTGAAGTAGTAAACAATATAGTGACAATATCCCGTAGTGAAGTAGTAAACAATATAATGACAATATCGCGTAGTGAAGTAGTTAACAATATAATGACAATATTCCACAGTGAAGTAGTAAACAATATAATGACAATATTCCACAGTGAAGTAGTAAACAATATAATGACAATATCCCGTAGTGAAGTAGTAAACAATATAATGACAATATCCCGTAGTGAAGTAGTAAACAATATAGTGACAATATCCCGTAGTGAAGTAGTAAACAATATAATGACAATATCCCGTAGTGAAGTAGTAAAAAATATAATGACAATATTCCACAGTGAAGTAGTTAACAATATAATGACAATATTCCACAGTGAAGTAGTAAACAATATAGTGACAATATTCCACAGTGAAGTAGTTAACAATATAATGACAATATTCCACAGTGAAGTAGTAAACAATATAATGACAATATTCCACAGTGAAGTAATACACATTATACTGACGATATTCTGTAATTGATTAGCATACATTATCCTGTAAATGAACTACTCACAACAGAAGTGAAATAGTTTCTAATCTGGCAGCAACTTGTTTTCCGGAGAAAACCACGTGGTCGGACATATGATTCAATACCTATTGACATCCGAAAATGAAATCAAATTCCGACTTCCTAAGTTTAAGTTTGTGATCCTAGTCAACTAATAAACGTTAGATGGAACACGTTACTATTAAAACTAACTGTTTAACCTACTAACCAACGGCATAGGCATGGCACAATGTGGCTAATCAATATTACAGAATTACAGATATATATTATTTGCTTATACGACATCGTGTAATTAACCAAAAGGATACAGAACCAAGGTTTTTCTTCTTTGTCCAACACATACAACTGGCTATATAATTCCCATTTGAAATGCCAGTAGTGAAACGAAGACTTGAGCTTGTCCCAGGATCCCATAATCTCCCTCCTCGTCCAGAGCCTGTTCTGGTAAATAAACGGTAACCAATGACCAGTAGATCAATAGTATGTAGTCGGGTATTAACTTGTCGCCTGGAAAGCCTTACACCCGTCTAACACTTGTCCGCTTTCGTGAACACAATGTCATTCAGCACATTTAAATGGACAGTATATACATATAATATTAGCGCGACGATTGGTCACAACCGGGTAAACATTGGAATGGGTTTTACGGGGAACGTTCTAATGTATTGTCAACAAAAGTAAAATGATATTTTCACTCTTTGAGCATGTCTCTGGTGTCACTCGATTGACATGGAAGTGCGTGGCCAAACATGTCGAAAAGCAAGCGTGTATGGTGTAGTGTTTCTCCCACCCTAGCCAGTTTTCAATCTATATACGCGATCTAGCAAGTGCAACGATCTACATATTTGTATCGTTACACAATCATTTTATTTTTGGAAAAATATATTAGTTATCACTTTTATGTGCGAAGCAAGTCGAAACAGTCGGGTCAAAACTGACTCAGAATAACGGTAGGTAGTTACTTATTTAACTCTCTCCCACCCACCATTCTCACACCTACTGAACTGTTGCATAAAATATCTATTGTCTATTTATGTCAATTAAAATAAAGACATCTATAAAAAAATAAAGGTATATCGGCCAGAGGTGAGTTTTTTTTATGGAAAGGTCTGAATGTTTAATGCGTATGTGTTACAGAACAAATATCTAAAGTGTAATTCAATCGCTATTCAGCAACACGAAATCCGCTGTGTGACAAACCTTGTGAATCAGAGAGAGTGTTTTACTTTGTGTTATTCTAATGATATAGAGAGTTTATTCTGTTTTTTCCGTATATGTCCACTACTGTCGATTTCCGGAGTTTGTTTAATATCAGCCCCACGAGTATTCAAATATATCTTCAAATATTATGCAAAACAAGTCAAACTATTGCATTGATCTTATCTGGTCAAACACCTAAGATTTGTAAACAGAAGACGACAGATCGTTTAATATGTATTGGTAAACAGTGCTAGTTTGAGGAAGTGGTGCGTGTGTTGTTGTTTATCTGTTTACCGTCGTGGTGTATTGTTAATATATGCACAACTTTGAGGCTATTTCACTTAAGCATCAACTTGAAGTATGAACTTGAACGAAACTGGCACAAGATTTAAACATTTAGCCAGCAGGATGTAAATGCCCAATTTTGTTTACCATATTAAAAATGGTGAAAATTGATACCAAAAAAATGTGAATATCAAGTATATGATTATCGTCACATCAGCTGAAAATCAAATATAGCTGTTCTCACAATATTAACAGTAGAGAACTTGTTAACGCTGCTATGGTAACGAAATGGAAGAGAAGTTTTACTCAACTCTTAAATGCCCTATGTATGCAGAAGTTGGAGACTATTAAAATGGTCGCGTTCCAGTGGGGTTACCTTGATATAATAACCTTTTTTGTTCTTTGATTGTTGTGACTGAACAAGTCTGAATTGAATTGGCAGCCTAAGGCATATACGTAATCCATCATTGTTCTTTGTCATGTTAACCAATACGGCTTCTATATATATAGCCATGGTTTGACCGTTGACTACAAGTCACAGCCACGGTAGCAGTAAACGGAACATTTAAAAATGACAATGGCGGTAGCGGTGAATGGATTACAGAAACCGTTGGGCTATTTTGTAAGCCGGTGTTGTTATTCAAAGCATACCCGGAGTGTTTTGCTATATTTAGCTATAAAACACCTCATATTCAATAAAGGGTTAAAGAAGTGCGGACGTCGTGGTGAGCTCTATCTCATAGTTGTGATTTATCTAAAAAGTTCATTGCTGACAGTGTTAATAGCTCAATGAACTTAAAGTCTCGGCAGGCTTTTGACAACTTATGTGACATATTCCGATGACTCTTTCTTTTGTGGGTTATATTTTAAGTGCTAAATACATATAGAAATGACATTTTACAATTTCGATTTTGAAATATCTCTTTTTGAGTAGACAAACGATGAACTATATTCGAGATTCTGAATACACGGATGCTATCTAAATTGATCTGTTTCGACAACTCAACAAGATAAATATCATAATTCTTCTCTTTATTTCCTCTAAGTTGAATATTTCATAAACAGAATAAAATATAGTTTACATACAAGATTGTGATAATGACAATGACTCCGGCAGTACAGATGGACACTAATGATCTACGTTATATCAACAATGTGATCACACACGTGTATATTACCGTTTGCAATGTTCTACAAATATAAATTCAAATTCACAATTATAGTAATGGAAATTAACGTTAAAAAACAATCTTACTACTGTACTATAAAAAGGTAACACCGGAGTAACCTCTCTTTACGTTGAACTTGTTAATGTTAAATGCCCCGGCGTCTTTAAAAAGCAGGACCACTGGGCTTAACATTTAGTAATGATATCATAAGAAATATTATACGGTTCTCGCCAAAAAATGTTGAGGATGCTGTGTCACTCACGAGAATTTGTACATCTGGCAATGAAATTTCATGCTAAATTAAAGTGGAATGATAATTCGGTCTTCTTCTTTCGTTTTTTTCAGAGGCTATTCAGAAGATTAATAACATGCCTTTTCAGCATTTATGTAACCGGCGTCTTTTATTCCTCCGTGGCTGTTTTTTTATGTGACGGTTCTACATTTGAACGAACGTTGGTGGATTATGGAAATATACCGACGCTGCAGTAGTACGAGTTTTCTCCCTTGTATCGTTATGTGAAGCTTGTCATAGCTGATGATTTCCTCGAGTGAAGCTTGAGTTGAAGCTGAGCACTGATTTAAGGTGTTACATCTACACACAATTTATTCTAAAATTATACCCTTACTCTATTGCAGAACACCAACTCTCATGGTACAACATGTCTAATTATCCCCATATTTTAAACTCCACACTGCAGCTCTGTATACATATGTATAAACACTTAAATAAGGATTGACAGTATATTCTTCATTGTAAAAAGTCGTATTTGTTTTCAGACCAAATTCTCAAATCATTGCCAATTCTCTTTCCTTTTTTCATACCTTATTTAAGGTTTGAACAATGATAAATCTTAAATCACGAAATAACACATGTACCTGGTTATTTCAATATCGTCTGTTATCAGCTTGCCGTGTTATATAACACATGTACCTGGTTATTTCAATATCGTCTGTTATCAGCTTGCCGTGTTATATAACACATGTACCTGGTTATTTCAATATCGTCTGATATCAGCTTGCCGTGTTATATAACACATGTACCTGGTTATTTCAATATCGTCTGTTATCAGCTTGCCGTGTTATATAACACATGTACCTGGTTATTTCAATATCGTCTGTTATCAGCTTGCCGTGTTATAAAACACATGTACCTGGTCATTTCAATATCGTCTGTTATCAGCTTGCCGTGTTATATAACACATGTACCGGTCATTTCAATATCGTCTGTTGTCAGCTTGCCGTGTTATATAACACATGTACCTGGTCATTTCAATATCGTCTGTTATCAGCTTGCCGTGTTATATAACACATGTACCTGGTTATTTCAATATCGTCTGTTATCAGCTTGCCGTGTTATATAACACATGTACCTGGTCATTTCAATATCGTCCGTTATCAGCTTGCCGTGTTATATAACACATGTACCTGGTTATTTCAATATCGTCTGTTATTATTTTGAATATTGTATGTTTCGCCATGTACAAGCTGGTAGAAAGCCGACTTGGTGTCTTTTAGAAGATTTCCCGGGGAGTCCAATTCTACCACCCGACCCTGGTCCATCACCAATACCCGGTCACTGTCCATTATGGTGTTGATACGGTGAGCAATGGTCAGCACCGTACTGTCCATAAACTCCTGGCGGATTGTTTCTTGTATCAGTTTGTCTGTATCCAGGTCCACACTGGCCGTGGCTTCATCAATACAAAGTACCTGCAACGTCAGACAACACAAGATATTAGAATATCTTTAATCCGAGATCGAATGGATCGTTTCATTTCGGTTAGGAGCTGTAAACAGTCATAACAATGCTGATTTAACTAAATCAAGATTTCAGAACAGGAGCGTCTTCGCTGATTGAGAGAGAGAGTCTTGAGATGTTGGTTTATAGATAAGGGGCGACTCAGTTGTCACAGTTAAATCTCTGCACTAACACACACTGACTAACCATTCGTCCTATCATCAGAAATTATAGATAAATTTGATATATTATTGAAATAGTGAAATCTTCCTTCACTTTCAGTAGGGGATTCTAACACAGACCTAAATGAAAGAATGAATGATCTTTATCTCATCAAAAGATGAACACAAACTATACAAAAAATAGCTTTCCGAAAAAATTGCCATTACTGATGGTAACGTTCTGGTTCTGTAATAAGCAGGATCTGATCTAGTGAGGAGTGCCCGGGCCAGACATATGCATTGTCCCTGCCCCGCAGAGAAATGTGTCTTACCTTGGCTTTAGTGAGGAGTGCCCGAGCCAAACACATCAGTTGTCTCTGCCCCACAGAGAAGTTTCGCCCCTTTTCGGCTACATCTCCTTCGAGTCCTCCAAGTCTGTCGACAGGATGACGGAGATGACATTTGTCTATTATTCTCCAAAGCTCGTCATCACTGTAACAAGAGGTGGGGTCCAGGTTCTCCCTTACATTGCCGCTGAAGAGAAAGGGGTCCTGGGGAATCACGGTCAGGTGTCGTCTGAAATTATTTATAAACATATTCCGTGACCATAAATTAACCATCGATTTTAAATTGATATCAAGTAACCTAAAGGGATTGGGTCTGCTTCCATTTGTCTTGAGATACAACTTAGCCTGCTATACTCAACATGTGTCAACAACGTGTTCTTCAGGTTAATACCACAATTTATTATGTCATTTTTAGAAAAAAAAAACCTGTAACATGAAATAAGCATTTTTGATCGTAAACACTTATCTTAAAGGATATATAACAATGGAAGGCAACTATAGGATAAGTGTCTCTAGTTTAGATAACTACCTCTAGTTTAGATAACTACCTCTAGTTTAGATAACTACCTCTAGTTTAGAGAACTACCTCTAGTTTAGATAACTACCTCTAGTTTAGATAACTACCTCTAGTTTAATGATTTAATTATTTTTTTCTAAAAGGAGATTCGAATTTTAAAAAAAAATCGAAACGGTGGCAAAATATGAGCAATAGTAAGATTTATACGGTAACTCATGAAATGTTCCGCAAGGGTAAGCGGCCTCTGTTTAAGTAACGACACTTGCCTTGATTAACAACTTGAAACGTGAAAATTAAATTCAAAATAATTGGTTTAAAGAGTACCTTTCTAATCTCCGAACTTTGATTCTTACCGGATGTCCTTGAGGTTTAGTTGAAGTATGTTCACCTCATCAACAGTGATATCGCCGGAGTTTATTTCTACCGTGCGGAACAGAGTTTGAAACAGACTGGATTTACCAGACCCGGTTCGCCCGACAATGCCCACCTTTTCTGCGTGTCGTGTGCGGAACGTAACACCCTTGAGGACGTCGGGTAGATCGTCCCTGTACTTCATGTATACGTCGCTGTAGCTGACCACGCCTAGAGCAGGCCATGTGGGGGGCGGCTGTGGAGCAGATGAAGGAAAATTCAGTTTTCTGTTAACAAACGTCGAATAAATGTTCTACAGCTGAATTAAAGAGTTAGTTACGCTTTCTATGTGGTCGTGTGGTGTCCTCTGTCATTATTAACATGAACTATCACTGTTAATGTATCCGGATCTATATAGAAATAGCCACGGATCTCGGGGAAGATTAGTTTGTTCAGAGACCCTGCTTAGATAGGACCAGATTTTCGTTATTGCGCCTTTTTATCTACTTATTGTTTAAAGATTGTACCGTTTTGCCGTCCCATCTTTCACTAGGACTGTTTTCTACATACTGCTGTACTCTCTCCAAGCTCAACATCTGTTTCTGTGCTTCTGCCGCAAAGCAGACGAATTCGTCCAAAAGGTCAGATAACGACAGGATGAAGGAAATGGCTAGTCCTACAATACCTACAAAAGTAACGGTACATAGGTTTTATCTATAGCAAATTATAACATATAGTAGTTCTAAGATATCCTTTTCGGATGTCCTTGTGATACGTACTTGGATCGATACCGTGGATGTTATGTTCCAGAACGGCTAGAGTTGCTATCCCTGTAACCATGACGTTTACAACCATCAGTGTTTGTACCCACAACCAATTGCCGATATTATGGGCTGTATAACGGGCCTCCAACCATTTGTTCATGCGATGAATGTGTTTGTCTTTGAACCTAGAAAATAAGTATTCTCTGATGCGAATTGTCTCAATATTGTCATTCAAATTCTTCTTTACATTTTCGTTACCTTGTATCAAGCAATTTTGAAATTCTTCTTTCGTGGAATATGTTTTTTGGATACAAGGAGATAAAATGCATGATTATTTGTGAAACTACAGGCTTATTATTAGGACAGTTATGTTTGTGGCCAGCTTGTTTTCCAGTGTTTAAGGTATACAAACAAATGAATTGCCAAAACTACAAGTGAAGAACATTGTATTCTATTTCATGGCTGAAGTAACAATGGAACCCGTCCTTTCTTTCTTGATATCTGTTTACCTTCTTTTTTTCCGTTCAAGAAGAAACCATACGTGGTACTATCAAAAGGCTAAGTAAGAGCTACAATGTATTCCCTGTCTGTATTTCGAATCGTTAAAACTGGTTATCTACTCCTAATAAGAAGATGTCCATATTCGATCATGTGAATATAAGATTTTATGAGCAGACAATCCAACCTTCTGTATAATGAGTTTACTGATGTTTATCACTTATCTAAAATGACATAGGAGTAATAACGACATTTTAACAAATCTGTATTTCTATTCTAAATTAAAGTTAAAGCAAGACTGGACGATCCGGTTGAGAAAGCATCTCATGTTTTATTGACGACATCCTACTAGATCTAGATCGAATTATGGTCAGGTAACGTTTTCAAAGTGAGGACCAAGGTCACCGTCAGGCATACAGGCACTTGAACATGTCATTCTTTTACAGTGATATCACACACATTATCAAATATTTTATTCACAATTTCACAAGCTTTACAAAAACGTTAAAGAGCACTCAATACCCAAATGACATCTTATTCTTCCACATTCGTGTATGAAAATGAAATTTTTAGATAATTTGCTAAACGTTTAGTTCCACCCTCCGTCTGTTAGGATGAATCGCAAGCTTTATGGAATATTATTATCTCGCAACGGACAACGATGAGTATCGACATGGGTCACATAATCCACGTGGTGATGAAACTGACCTTTCTGTGTCGCGGAAGGCTCGGATCGTTACCACTCCAGATATTGTCTCGGATAAATGAGAGAAGATCGGTGTATGTTTTAGGGTTACAATGCGTCTCACCTCCCGAGATGTATGACGGTATTTTTCCTGTCAGTTGTAAAAACGATTAATATTAACTGAAGTCAGGTAAACATCTAGCATTTTACCTTTCAAAAATGTAAACAAGACACTTTAATAACAGTAACTCAAAATCAGCTGAATAAACTCTCATCAGCAACAGTAATCAAGTCAACCAGTAGAAAAAGTAAATAAGGGCTTAGGATAATCACTCGTGCAATGTGACCATAATGCTAATATCTGTTGAAACAAATAAAACAATAACACACGAATGAAAAACAAACGATCTATTTGTGCCCAAATCGCAAAAAGAAACTTATTTCATGCGTCAAACACTCTTCAGTAAGTGGCAGATAGATGGAAAACACGAATATCCGTACCAAGACAGGTGCGCTAACTAAATAACTCAGTCGTGCAAGCTTTTGGATATGTATTATTTCTCAAACACTGTCGATATGCAAGTTGATTTTAGAAAATAATATATGCCGCGATATCCTTCTAATCTCGATGCTATTTTCCTAACAATCTGTCTTTACATCTTTCCTACCATATTTGGTGTAAGCTATAAACAATATGTAAAAGGATTTTTAACTGGTCCAATTAACAGTATTCTTATATTTCTTCACATTTCTTCATGAATCAACACTTCTAGATTTTAACAATTGTGATTTTCGTCGGTCGCCTCATAAATTTCATTACTTTAGGTCCTTGGAACCAGTGACGAATCCTGGAAGGACGTATCGCCTACATGACATAGATTTCATTACTTTAGGTCCTTAGAACCAGTGACGAGACCTGAAAGGACGTCGGGGCTACATGACATAGATTTCATTACTTTAGGTCCGTAGAACCAGTGACGACTCCTGGAAGGACGTATCGCCTATATGACATAGATTTCATTACTTTAGGTCCTTGGAACCAGTGACGAGTCCTGGAAGGACGTATCTCCTACATGACATAGATTTCATTACTTTAGGTCCTTAGGAACCAGTGACGAGTCCTGGAAGGACGTATAGCCTACATGACATAGATTCATTCATTATTTTTGCTCAACTGTATTTAATTATTGTATACCTTTTGAGCGAAACATGCACATACGGAAATTTAAAAAAAAAACAACGTAAACAGTGAGTTCGTTATTAAAGGATATATCGCGTATAAGACAATGAATTGTATTTTGCATAGAACACTACCATACCTCTATTTGATAATATGCCGCGGCTACGGGGATCAAAACCAGTAAGAACCACGGCATTCCATAGGTCGAAATGGACAAAATTCCAACAACTCCAAATAGTTTACACAAAACCACACTTATCAGACGGCTGAGCGTATCATCAATGGTCGTCATGTCAGAAGAAAAAAGGTTGAGGATTCTGCCTATAGGTGTCACGTTGAAGAAGGACATGGGTGCCTACAAATCAGAAATGAACCGATATACATCTGATTAAAGCGGGTGTAATGTAAGAAATCAGATGATCGAGACTGAAAATTTTACTAAAGTTAGATCTAATACCTTAAATACAGTATCAAGTAGTTGGTTGTGCATAATTTTAGCCAAACGTAGACCACCATTCATGACCAAGATTGCATTGGCGAACGAGGAAAGAGAGTAGAGAATGCCCAGGAATCCGTACACCATTATGTTGTAGACAAGACTGGACTGATTGTACATCACACTACCACCAGCGTCTGTCATACCAAACACTCGATCCAAGCTGCGGATAGAAAATTAAGATATATTAATTCAAAGAAGAAATAAACGATGTGCATTCTACAACAAGAATATCAAGATTCGAACACGTCTGTTTTGGCGTTAAGTGAATAACTATTGTAAGCTCTTTATAAAACTATATAAAATAGATGCTGTTGGTATATAATAAACCAGTTCTAGTTGTTTTAGTGAAAAACACACTGAAAGTATAAAAAGAACAAAGAAAATACCTACATGCCAACATAATCATGACTCAATGTCATTAAAACGAGGAAAAATATGAACAAATGAAAGATCGAAACAGAGACTCCTGAAATAGTACAAGGAGCATAAGACCAAGTATTCTGCGTCATCGACGACACCCTCCATGTAATTTTTGGTCATTCAAAGTATGTCATTTCACGTTCCCAAATAAGAACATGGTAAAAAAGAACGAAACCATTAAATACACTTATATACTTAAACAAATGGTTCCTCGATGAAATATAAGTTATTTGTTAGTTACTCTTTGTCAACGGAAATATGTAGGGTCGTCATACTTATAGGGGGTCTCGGCGGTTGATCAACAAAAATACCTATTTAAGGTCTCACCTGGTTGGGGACGACATGTTGTCATGGAAACAGAGATATCCCGGATCAGAAGTGATGCTGCCGGGTATTGATAATCCAGATGTCCAGTAAATCAAAAACCAGTCTTTTAGCTTCCCTAACGCTATATTAAAACATGTAGCTTTATTTCAACGATTGCTATTGATCACGCATTTCATATCAAACGAAACAAGGGTATATTCAAATATTCACATCTCCGGTTTGCTTTGCCTCGATGAAGATAATATAATTCAATCACGTTATTTCCCGTCGAAAGAAATTGACCTGGTGCATTTGTTCTGGGCGAATAGATAACAAAGTGCATCGTTTTGTAACATTGTCAGGCACGAGGTTCAATTCCCTTCACCAGTCTATACAAGGAACAAATAAGACAATCAATCCTTAAATATAATCTATATTATAAGTTCAATTATGTTAAATACTGAATCATCTTTTTTTCACGTTTTTTCTTCTCTTGGTAATTATACAAATGTAAAAAAGGTAATTGTACGCGACATTAAATAACTGCATTACCTTCCCTGAAGACGATAGTCAGCAACACGGCAATAGGCAACCATTTACCTAGGGCTGTCAAAAAGACCTTGTACACACGTGAACGGATTTCTTCGGTAGCTCTGTCTTCTCCAAGATTTCCGTCAGGATCATTGTCGGCGACTTCTATGTATCCAGCTTCAGACTGTTCTGATGATGGATGTTGTTCAAGAGATACCGTATTGTCGAGGATCTCTGACGGAACACCTGTATTAAAACAGAAAGTGTATCAGGACAATGCATTAGGTAATCTGGTAATATTACAAAAAAATGGAACCTTATCTGATGGTAGGTATTCCCATGGACTTGGAATAGATTTATTTAGAAAGGAGGTCTCACCTGCTTTGGAAATAACTCCGCCATCCATAACAATGATCAGATCCGCTTTTTCAAGAAATTTGATATGATGTGTACATAGGATTCTGGTCTTATTCTTGAGTAATCCCATGATGCACTTGTCATATATATGTCGTGCCACGTGACTGTCAACAGCTGCTAGAGGATCATCAAGAAGATAAACATCCTTTTCCTGAAAAAAAGAACAACAAATTAATTAAACATTGCAAGGGGAAAATATTTATGTATCTTACGTTACGTTGATCCTGGTCTTACCTGGTAAACTGCTCTAGCGAGAGCAAGCCTAGCTTTTTGTCCTCCACTTAAAGTTACACCATTTTCGCCAACTTCTGTTTTGTCTCCAGTTTGAAACATCTGAAACATTTAAACGGTATTATGTATGACAGAAATAAATAAGAATTATACTCAATTTATAATTTACTAATATGATTATCAGTTATATGTTAATGTTAATATTCAGGTAGAAAATAATCACAATTGAAGCAGGAACGCAAGCCTGCATACTTTCATGTCTTTCTGCAACGATACTGCTCGCAGGATCTCAGCATATTTCTTGCCATTAAACGGATTGCCAAACAGAACGTTGTCTCGTATAGTTGAATGTTGTATCCATGGTTCCTGACTCGCCAGTGCAAATCCTTGTTGGAGGTTCGATACCGAAATACTGCCATGTTCCCGAGCCATCTCAGCCAGTACAGCGTGCAGGAAGGAACTTTTACCTGCACCCACTTTACCAATCACTCCTATGAACTGTCCCTAAACAACACATGTGACCTCAATTGGAAATGTTATTCCTAAAGCTATAGACCAAACAACGGAGTGTGCATGACATTTTGACAATAATTACTTTTGTTTTGAAGATGTTCTTATATAAGATGTTTGGTAAAGTTTGAAGCAACAAAATACTTAATTACTTCCTATTCTCAACGAAAACCTTGAGTTAGACAATGTTAAAAGTCATGCTTAATAAATAAAAGAAAATGGAAGCATTGATATAAGAGACGAACAGACCCGATACTTTTCGCGAAAGGTGAAAATAAATGACCATTTGTAACTAACGTTTACCGCTACATATCAACTCACACGGACGATGTCAACAGTGATGTTTTGAAGAGTTAAACTATCTAAACGTGATGTTTTCTCCGATTTGAAGTTTCTAATCCCTTTCTCCATTGACGTGTTACACTTCTTTCTTCCCCACCCAAATTTTCCATCGTTCACTGATATCACATTTTTTGAACTGTATTCTGAAACCGAAGCATGTCAATTTTTGTATTTTTTTCTTTTATCTTCAATATGATAGCTATGACATTAAATGTTAAAAAGACTCGACATTGAATTACAATAATTTCAATAATTGTCTCAATAAGGCAAGCTGATGTTCGGAGTCTCATTTTTTGAAACACAATGTTAAACTTATCCCTGTAAATGATTTTACCTTGTATTGGTTCGTAGTAGATTTCAGAGTCAATATTTGGTAGCGCTATAAACTTCTCTATCCTTTCAAGAGATACAGCAGCTTCGATGATGGCACTAAACACCGTAGGGAGACGATTCAGTGATCCTGTTAGTTTACTGAAAACTGTCAGCGTGGTGAACATCTGAAATGAATTTAATGATGCAAAGATGGGAAACATGTTATTATTATTTGTTTACTAGTAAATCGAATGATTGATAATTTCATTTGTGAAATAAGCAGTGATTGTGTAACCTTTGTTGCTGTTAGTGTGTTGCCCATGACAGTGTAGATTCCAAAGGTCAATATGGTTAATGCGGCTGGGGCTATGGTTGAAAGACATTCTGTAACGGCGTCGAGAATTTTTTTCTGTTTCAAGGTCTGTAGTTCCTCATCACGTACTTTGCTAATCAGCGCCCTGAAGTGTTCTTCCCATGTGTAGCACTTGATGTTCTTAATTCCACATAACACTTCATTTATCAACTTAAAGAATAAACAGAAATAGAATGTTATAGAATATTATGTATGATAATCACAATATAATATAGTAAGGCGAATACAGAGAATATCTGAAAATGAATACCAATGTGCATCAATGATATCATTGATATATCTTTATGATATATGAAAAGAATTGTAATACTGGCAATGCTGACAACTTAACTGAACAAACGATTTGATACACCGCAATCTGACATATAAATATTGGAAATATTGTACCAAATGAATATAGCACAGTAGTATGGACGAGACTTGTTAACACCTTAATATTGGATACAAATACATTATACCAAATGATTGATAATTAATTTTAATTGTTTATTTGGCAATACGAGTCTTGCCGAGAGTTGCAACTTCTAATCTTTCTCCGATAGTTAGGATATCCATGTCTGAAGTACATAGATAATAAGAAATATTTTATTCTTAACCTGATGACCATCTTACATTATACGGACGTATTGTTCCTATACTTTTTTAGTACTAACACTATACATAGCTATCATCTGTTTAATTGAGTGACCAAGTTAGGATAATGGGTTGTCAGCCTCTTGTTTGCTTACCAGTCTTACACAAGGGTTGAGATTTCCTAGTCTACAGGTTCATATAATATGAATCGGAATTTGTCTTTGAATGAGATACTTTTTAGTTTACTTCAGTAAAGTATATAATACAAATAATTGTTATGATTTGATTTAGGCTGAGCTCGATTGACCACAAAATATATGGCTCCATAAAAAAGCTGAATGCTACCGAAGTTATATTTATCAAATATCTGACAAATGTATTAACTCAACCGAAATTTATCATATTTTTCGCTCGTTTGAGTTAATATCTGTCAGGTTGATGATAAGTCCGCTACACATTACCGGTAAACTCAAATTTGTGAAAGTATAGTCACAAAACAAAGGAAGATTATAAAGTTTACTCATACTCACTTCCATCCTTTTGTCCTTCAGTTCAAGACGTAACTTGGCAAGCGTCCTCTGCTTAGCTGATATTATCTTCATAATGGCGACAAGTAACAAATTAGTTATTAGCCCACCAAGGAACGCGATTCCAACTAGTTGATAAAGGATATACATACCTATTGCGGTTTCGATAGGAATGATCCACGCCTTATTGAAAAGGATACAAAAGTACACTAATTTCTGTGTGTCGGCGCCGAGAAAATTGACAATTTCACCAGAAGTGAACTGTGATAAAGACACGGTATTTACTGTTAAAACCTTCTGGTATATGGCTGTCATGACAGAAATCCTAATTTTGAAATATATATGCATGGTCATATATTCATAGATACTGTCAACGAGCATTACTGCAAAACCTGACAACCCTAATGCTAAAACGTAGCCGAACTCGAAGTGTGATGGTTCATTTTTATTTTCAAGATATGAAATCAACCTCCACAGTGAAATAGGATATGTGAAGCGGATAAGTTTGTCTATCAAATCCACTATACCACATCGTATATAGAAATCCACTCCATAGGCTTTGTGTAACGCCTTCAGCAATGAGATCCTCCTCCGTCCGTCTGGATGTGTAGTATTACCCTGCAATATCTCAAGGAATCGTTCTTGCACTTTTTTCACGTTAAGACTCCTTGGCAAAGAAAACATGTCTTTGGAAGATAGACTGGTTCTTTTGCGTCCCTTATCCAAGAGTGGACGAACCCAGTTACACGTCAACAAAGAGAACAAAGACACATTATCTTCATTAACTGGAACGTTAGGTGTTGGAGTAGGGTCTTCCTGAATTTTGGATTTGTTGGACGAGACCGTTTGCTTCTCCTTTGAGGATTTGTGTTTAAGATGATGTACAAAGAGCAGACATATACCAATTAATATTATATAAATGACTGTATACTGTATAGCCTTAAAATAATGCTTTCTTACAATGTCAAGAAGCATGAAGTAATTGTCGACTGTAGGATCGTTGCCTTTTATATTTGTAATAGTCATGTTTTTGTAAAATGGGGCTTTGCACACTGGATCTTCCATCTTCTAAGAGAAAGATAAATATCTGAAAAAGGAAGGAAAAATAAGATGTTACAATATTTACGGAAGTTATGTAACGTTGTGGTATTGCTTGCAACCTTAACATACAACCATATGTTTACAATATTACAATGAAAAAATACTGTTTATTTTATTTATATGTAATATGCGCTTTCATGTAATTACATTTATGATGTGTGTTAAGGGGTGTCGGGGTAGGTGAATTCTGCATTATATCAAATTTCTTTTATACGAAAATGGTACGTATGGGTGATCTCAAACGTTTATATATCAATGGTTGACTTGCCTTTTGCCTACTTTCTGGATTTCAAAACGGCAGGAGTGATAAAATCAATATTCAATACAGATAATTCATATTTAATTGAGAATGATTGCCATTACAGCAAATAGCAAATGAATAGACAAAAGCTTTAGACCTTTGAAGAAAAGATTGTACTATTAAACTTGGTATATTCCAATAACATTCTGTTGATGATGTGTTGTGCGTCACTAGGCACGATGTCGCCACGATGAAACATAACAAACATGAAAAATGCATTAAAAAGTTATTTCAAATGTTGATATTGAATTTGTTGAGGTGTCATCTGTCTCTGCGATATAAGAATAGATAAGGGGTATTTCATGGATATATAATTCATGTAGCATCTGCCTGGTCTGGTCATTTTAAGTCATAACATATTGATAATACACAGTATTGTTTTCAATCCATGTGGTGTTTACTGTGTAGGAAGAATAACATTTTTACGAAATTTACATGTATTTACATATATATATATATATATAGATGCTGTATATGTACTTATATCAAAATAAGAGCAATTTGCCAGCTATTAAATGTCATATATGCAGTGTGTTTTGCCTCTCACACGGATGTTGTCTAAAGAGGTTACCTCAAGCCACGGTCAATCTGTAATCTAAAAATGTTGTACAAAGGATACACAATGGAAAATGCGCACCTTTTCATTCGAATGCAGTTTATCTAAATTTTTACATGTTAATCACAAACATCGTAAAGAATATATACCAATTCATAACAGTTGTAAACACAATCTGTCTCCACTCTCAATATAGCTGCTTTTCCTAACGGTCATTCACTTTACAGGACATAACTACAATTTTAATATAATGTAAACATTTTCTTGTTGTAGGTAACGTGACATCAATGTCTTTTAATTTTCAATTGCTGTTTTGTATATGTGCGGCTGGCATTGGGTTGGTTTTCTTTTATGTACCTGTAGATGTGACATATTTATATCAGTCAAAGTACGTAAGAGATAGTCGTCAAAGAAACACACGTGTGTATTCATATAAGGAGGTTACGCTTCACCAATAAGATAACGATGGAAAAAACGACATAATTCGTTAACAAATTTTCGAAAATTGCGAAAGTTGGATTATCGTGTGCATCAATATAGAATTGACTGCAACTTTCACAACTACATCGATGACAACGGATTGTTTACAGTCCAGGGAAAGTTGACGATAGGGCAATTAAGTATGAGCTTTCAAAAAGCGAACAAGATTGATTGAAAGAGTTCTAAGAATCTTCCGTTCCATCGACTTCACTTCTTGGGTACCTAGGTTACATGAAAGTCAATTTAGGGTGATCTGCTTGATCAGGTGACTTATTATAATAATTTCGAAATATTTACTATTGACGCGCACATAGCACTTAAAATCTTAACCGTTAAGCTAATTTTAGTTACAGAAATATGTCCAATTTACAAATCATGGTAGCAACTTTAGAGGTTCTAACGCGTTAACTTACCAAACAAGTTCCAATAAAGTTTCTGTTCACAAGTCTCTGCTGATTGTTTGCCAGTTCTAAACCGGCTAATTATTCCTACAAAAAGATTCTGTTTCGTTTTATCATCACGTTGGTAGGCAATACAAACCACAACACCTATGTGATCGTTTTGTTGAATTGACGTAGTGTAATAAAATCGATTGTGACATCTTGCTTTGCATTCACAGCTGTCAATGTAGTAAACTGTGCATCGATCTATCATTTAGGTTGCTGGTATATCGTTTTGTATGTATCCTAGTTGTTTTCCTATGCCGATTTCTTCGATCTGCCTTATTGACATTAGTTTGCGAAACATATTTTAGTATAGTCTTCACAATTAAGGCTGTATGTGCTCTTGAGAGTATCAAATGCGTGTACATCGTCTTGATGTGTCGTCTATTCTCAGGATCCAAAATCGTACTGTTTAAAAACGTCGGGTCACGCAAGGATGCCTTCATCAAAGAGCATGGCATGATTTAATTGGCTTGTGTAAATTACACACAAATTTTGAGATCTGTAAAACATATGAATATGCATTAAAATTTGTACGTTATACCATGATATTTTAAATTAACTTCGGTGCTGATTACAATACAATTCTGCTCATGAGAGATTTCTGTGTTTCTTTTGATTGATATTCATATCCCAATGTATGGTAAATAGAAAATGATCATACTATATACAAACATGTTTTTCTCTCGCAAGCGATTCGTGTACAGAACAAAGATAATTTCAACAAGATTTCTTTTATTCTTGATTGTAAATGCAATAAAAAAAATATTGTTCCGACAATTGCAACAAGTCTGTCATAATTTTGTATGTAACCGTGGTAACAGCGTTAACTTATACCGTCATGTGATTAGCTGGTAATGTACGACTTAGGTATTCACATGATCAAATTGTTTTGGTAAAGTCATATAGCATGGGGTCAACAATTTCATTACACTGTTTCTTAAAATGCCACAATGTCTTTGATTTTGTAATATGGTCACTGTTAATGTCATGACGCCATTATTTCGTTATCAAATGACAGATCGCTATATATGGTCACTGGAACGTAATGACGTCATCCATACGGCAATGAGGCAACTGGTAATATATGGGCATTGAATCATTGATATGGTGGCTCAACATGAGGTAATCAGTAACGTTACAAAATCCTTGATGTTGCCGTAACGTTAGTAGTAACGTCATGACGTCCTCCGTAAAGTTTTCATGTCATAAGTGATGTAATCAGATTACTGTGAACGTAATACGATACCAAAAAATAATACCCGAAGGTAATATTCCAAGATAATTGTCCTGTTGACTTTTTTTATGTAACAGACTATATTTCGCCATCCACTATTGTAGAAAATGTATCATTTGATACGGCAATATGAATATAATTATCTATTTAGATATTACATGTATTCAAGTGTGCATTTTCAGGAGGACGAATTCTGACGATATAAAAAATATTAGATCTTTGATTTACATATCGAACTGACAGGTCTCAGGATAATGAAAAGTCCGAAAAAATAAAATATCGATTCACATTTCATGTTTCAGTTTTAATTTAACGAAGCAGTTTTCAACATAGAATTAACATTGAATTTCAATTGTTTTTAGATTCTAGATTCCTATGTGTTTCGCCATGTACAAGCTGGTAGAAAGCCGACTTGGTGTCTTTTAGAAGATTTCCCGGGGAGTCCAATTCTACCACCCGACCCTGGTCCATCACCAATACCCGGTCACTGTCCATTATGGTGTTGATACGGTGAGCAATGGTCAGCACCGTACTGTCCATAAACTCCTGGCGGATTGTTTCTTGTATCAGTTTGTCTGTATCAAGGTCCACACTGGCCGTGGCTTCATCAATACAAAGTACCTGCAACGCAATGTCAAATAATTTCAGAAAAAAAATATTAAAAAGAATTGAGTTACGGGTTATGGCATGTTGTAAATAAGGAAAAGAAAGGAAAGATCTCAATGTTGAAAAATTATCCAGAGTAGAAAAAATGCTTGGTACTTTTGTCCAAAGCAAAAACTAACCACAAAAAGACTATAAACGTTTTAATCAAACCAGGACTGGTCCATACTTGTCCAGAGTGTAATAGGTTCTCACATCTCTGTGGTCAATTTAATCAAGCATGTGTTCACGATATGTTGTTCTTTACACCTCTGTTCAATATCGTTGGATAGGCAACTATCTCCACATGGAGTAACCGAAAAAGGCAAAGCATCACTGGGCTCCTCTGACATTGGCTGCCAAACAAATATTCTTTATGTTGATGCGAGAACGAGAGGGCCCTAAATATTGTCTCCTTTATCTTCAGTTTACTGATTATCGTTGTCCAAAAAAATGTATCTTACCTTAAACCTTGAGAGCAATGTCCTAATCAGACACAAGAGATGTCTCTGCCACACAGAGAAATGTGTCTTACCTTGGCTTTAGTGAGGAGTGCCCGAGCCAGACACATTAGTTGTCTCTGCCCCACAGAGAAGTTTCGCCCCTTTTCGGCTACATCTCCTTCGAGTCCTCCAAGTCTGTTGACAAGATGACGAAGATGACATTTGACTATTACTCTCCAAAGCTCCTCATCACTGTAACACGAGGTAGGATCTAGGTTCTCCCTTACATTACCGCTGAAGAGGAAGGGGTCCTGAGGAATCACAGCCAGGTGTCGCCTGAAAATGTTTTCATGTTTATATTGAATACATATAACAGAAATACCTAGTAATGTTAGAACCGATAGTGTGTACTTACCCTACCACATTCAAAAACTTTAGGAATCCCCGGTAGACGAAAATTAAGTACTCGATGAATTTATTCATCAAAATCTGAATTGTAACTTGTATAAGGAATATGGCACAACAGTATCTTTATATCAAACTTATATTCGAATATTCATTATTGGCTATAATGAAATGACGGTGATTGCACAACTACTTAAATGATAATGGTGTAACTTGTAACTAGTTTCCTATAAGTAAATATCATTTAGAATATACACAGCAAAATATCACCATAAGACAATTGTCACGTGACTTCGCAAATGAAATTAAATGGCAATGGTTGAATATCAATATTACACAGGTGACAGATCATAGTTTGTACTTACTTTTACTTCAAACAAATAACTTCTGGTATAAAGTTTTTTCCTACTGGCCCCATTAAATGTTGTTAATTATCAATTTCTCTATGTGTATTTTGGTCGATTTGTTTTAAGCTGAAAAATGTCAAGCGTGGTGAAAGCTTGTCTCTTATCAAAGTATGACTGGGTAACAGTAGATGTGCTAGAGGAAGCTTTACATTTAGAACACAATGCAACTACGTAGAGATATTCGATATCCTACAACAGTTCTTTTTAAGTTTTATTGTTATTATGGGGGAAATTCACTGCTCTAGTTATATAATGGTGTTGTGTGTGTTTTAGACTTCATATAGGAACAGGGAGTAATTTTATGGTTAGAAGTTCTAACTTCATTTAGCTCTAAAATCTTCAGTTTGGTCCTCACCTGACGTCCTTGAGATCCAGCTGACGTATATTCACCCCATCAATGGTGATGTCCCCTGAATTTATCTCTGCCGTGCGGAACAGAGTCTGAAACAGACTGGATTTACCAGACCCGGTTCGCCCTACAATGCCCACCTTTTCTGCGTGTCGTGTGCGGAACGAAACACCCTTGAGGACGTTGGGTAGATCGTCCCTGTACTTCATGTATACGTCGCTGTAGCTTACCACACCTAGAGCAGGCCATTTGGGGGACGGCTGTAGAGCAAACAATACCAAGAAAATATCAACTTGTCAATCATAATCCAAACCTAAATTCAATAAAACTATGACAAAATATTAACAAAAGAAAGATTTACTCGGAGAAAAGTACAAGAATAATAAGACCAGGTGTTCCTGAACGGTAAAACGTCTTCTGGTTCAGCGACGACACCCGCTATGTAAAGCCTGGTCAATTCAAGTAAGTAATGTCATGTTCTCAAATGAGAACAAGGTATACTATACGTAACCAACAGTTTAACTAAGGAGTACCAAACACTTCCATTTTCATGACGTTTAAGGAAATAAAATATTTCACAATCATACCACTATGACGACGTAAAATTTCCCTATAATTTTCACATCAACCTTTCATCAATCTTTGAAGACCCTGTGCTACGAATTTGTCCGTAAATTGTGCGAAAAACATAATAATGGGAAGTGACCCTTGGATATGGAATTAACTGCGACATGTAAATCGGTAAAAAGGTAGGGGAAAAATTTACTCACCGGTATAGGCCTACATAATAGATTAATTAGACTTCAAATTTCTCACTGCTGCCTTTCAATATTCGTACACTAGACTTAATGTAAGATCACGTAGATGACATCAATAAATAATGAAAATACATTGCATACGAATTCATGTTAATTTAACACTGATGGAAATGGTCTCAGCAAAGGCTGATAAGTTAGACACATGATACCGCATTCATTTCTATCTACATACAAGGTTAAGGACATCTTTCACAAATTTGACGGTAAAAAATACAACAAAGACTCTTGAAATGTTCTATTCCTTTGTGCAATTTGAAGCACGACGTGTTTAATGCTCGTTAATGTATCTGGTGAATCCAGTGTATTAATCTGGTTCTCATTTGAGAATCGTGACTTATTTGGATTGACTAAGGTTTACATGGCGGTTTTTGTCAATGAAGTAGAAGACTCTTAACGTTTTGAAACACATGGTCTTATTCTTCTTGTACTTTTTCAGGGTTCTCCGTGTAAAATTCCTTCCTTTTGGGAATCAAGATTTGTTTCTTTGCTGTTACCGTTTAATCGATGTTAGGTTACATTCTCTCCGAAACCTTAAGGTAGAATAACAAGTGTCAATCACGCCGAACAATGATGAACAAGATATAGACAAGTTAGATAATTGTGACGACGATAAACGATGCATTTTTCTGCAGTTATACAAAATAAAGTCCCTGACCATTCCCAGGCAGTCAGCATTCATCGCGGATATCGTAATAGTGGGTATGGACCCTTGAATACTGAATCAAATGTAGTCTGACTGTGACCGAATTAGAGGCAAAAATATGATAATTTCTATCTAACAATTGACGTTTCGAATAAATATAAGTAAGCGACTGCAGATTTAATAACACTAAATATTTCTATACTTGAAATATTTTTTATTTTGCGTACCTTTGTTCCTTCCCACCTCTCGCTGGTAGTGTCTTCTATATACTGTTGTACCCTCTCCACACTCACCATCTGTTTCTCCGTCTCGGTAACACAACAAACCATTCCCTCCATCAGCTCCGACATTGAAAGGACATACGATATAGCCATTCCTACGACACCTGAAGTGTTCATATAAATACTCTGATACTATTTTCCCCAAATAAAGTAATACGCATAATTATTTATAATAAACGATGAATATCATTGAAACGCTTGCGATACATACTTGGATCGATCCCGTGGATATTATGTTCAAGAACGGCTAGAGTTGCTATCCCTGTAACCATGACGTTAACAAGCATCTGCGTGTGTACCCACAACCAATTGCCGACATTATGGGCCGTATAATAGGTCTTCAACCATTCGTCAACACATTCAAAGTGCTGGTCTTTAAATCTAAAACAATAAATCCATTTATGTTTTCACTACGTGTTATTCACTTGTGTGTCAAACGTATAATTCTTCCATTCTATTTTTAGATCAAAGTCTAGTCAGCAAATTGGAATGGACCGATGTAAGAAGCATAAACTTGGTTTTACACAAACAACGAAATGAAGTCATGATTGCATATGTGTAATAACTAACGCAACAATCGCCACGTTTGGAAGCAGTATAAATTGTATCTCATCCTTAAGGTACATCACTTTTCATATACATTTATATCTACCTTGGTGGAAACATAAAGTAACCTAAACTTCTATTGAATAATAATAATAATAAAAAGAAAGAAATAACCAAATTCAAAGATAACATGAAGATATTTCCTTACCTCTCCGTTTCCCGGAAGGCCCGAATGGTTACCATTCCGGATACAGTCTCGGAGAATTGTGAGAAGATCGGTGAGCGTTTTAGAGTTGAAATCCGTCTCACCTCCCGAGATGTATGACGATATTTATCCTGTCAGTAATAATTGTTTTATCAAATATCTAGTCCGGATAAACAAAACGCTAACACTAAACAAAACGTTTGTATGACGAGGACAAGGCAAATCCGGATAAACAAAACGCTAACTCTAAATCAAACGTTTGTATGACCAGGACAAGACAAGTCAGGATAAAAAAAAAGCTAACTCTAAATCAAACGTTTGTATGGCCAAGACAACGCAGAAAATAAGTAGGATGCAGTGATCTAGTATCCGAAACTCACATTTCCTGGCGAGACAACTAAGTCATCACAAATAAGAAAAGCGTAGGGCAATCACTACGTTAAAATGAGTGATTCTCGCACCGATTCTTGTCGAAATTTACATATGGCATTAGAATCACTAAAACATAGATGTACTAGATACATTAAGATATATAGCAGTGTATTCATTCTTTTACAAAGCTTTACTGCGGCCTCATTAGATACCTTATAGGTTCTGGTACTAATAATACATAGTATGATCATACCTGTATATGGTAGTAGATGATAGACACAGGCAGTAGAATAACAAGGAACCAAGGCATACCGTATGTCGCGATACAGATAGTCCCAATAAACCCAAACAATTGACACATAACCACGTTTATCATACTGCTTAAGGAATCATCGATGGTTCCCAGGTCTGAAGAAAATCGGTTGAGAATTCCGCCTATAGGTGTCACATCGAAGAAGGACATGGGTGCCTAAAATGAACACAACAAATACCAACAAACTCTACATTATGCTTGACATAGAAAAAAAAATGTATGAAATTATGTGGAACACCAAATGATCGAGACAAAGAATTTCCTGTAAAGAAATCTACCTTGAGAATAGTTTTCAATAACTGGTTGTGCATTGTCCTAGCCAAGCGAATCCCTCCGTACGCGAATAACACTTCTTTTGCGAATGTGACGAAAGAGTAGAGAGCGGCCATGCACCCATACATAGTCAAGTAGTAGAAGATACTGGTTTGACTGGATGCAACACCACTGGCTTTTTCGACATCGTATACTGGACCCAAGCTGTACAATAGGTAAAATATTATAATGCCAATTAGATGATACAAACATCAATTCATACAGTGACTCCTGTGTTAATTGCATAAAATATAATAATTAAATATTTTCTACCTAGTGTACCTAGGATGATAATACAGCCAAAAAGGCGGTCGATTCCTTACCATCTTGCACACTTTTTAAGTCAGTTCTGGTTCATTACATTCTGGACATTTGCCTCATGAAGGTGACCTTGTAGTCATCGACACGTCACAGTTAAATTTTCTACTTTATATGCCCTAAGGACTTCTTTTCTGTTAGGGTAGGCGTTTGATGATCTATGAATAAACTCTACACATCAAATACACATAGTAATACTGCAAAGATAACTTTCCAATGCTTACTATGTATATACCCTACCTGTTTGGCGAAGTCGTGTTGTCATGGAAACATAGATGTCCGGAAACAGATGTGCTGTTCTCGGTCAGTGTTAACCCAGGCACCCAATTAGTCAGAAACCACCCTTTTATCTTCTCCAACGCTATAAAAGATATTCTGTATGTAATATATGAAATACATAAACATCGAAACTAGAGATAACATTGTCTCAAATTTAAAAAAAAAATCAGTAACGAAGTATGCAAAGATGTTTGCAACGCACCTTCCGCGAAGAAAACAGACAGTAGTATGGCTAAAGGTATCCATCCACCCAAAGCTGCCAAAAACGCTTTGTACACATATGATTTGATTTCCCCGGTAACTTTAACTTCCTCTCCAAGACCTCCGTCATAGTCATTATCGTCGTTGTTGTCATCACATTCAGTTTCGCTTTTGTGTGAAGATGGTATGTGTTCAGCAAATTCTGCTTCGTTGAGAATTTCCGATGGCACACCTAGTAAAGGAATGATTAACGAAAAATGCAGGCGTGTTTCAGCATCACCTTACAGGAAGCACTTTGTCACACTTAACAGAAGTATGCTCCTTTTTTCAGTACTAGCTAATGTGAAAATCATTTGATAACACCTATGGGCATCAGGTACGAGACTAGCAAAGAAAACACCGACATTTTAATGTAATATCAGTTTAAACACAAATCTAATGGAACTTTGGCAAAATAGGAACGAAGGAAATATTACACAGAAACTCCTGAAAAAGTACAAGGAGAGCAAGACCAAGTGATCCGGTATAGTATGCGTATTTTACTTCATCGACGTCCCCAGTCATACAAATATTGGTCAATCCTAGTAAGTCATGTTCCCAAACGAGAACAAGTAAACAACAAAGGAGCCACCAGCCTTACTGTCGAGCATAAAACATGTTAATTCTAAAAAAGGACAAAGACATAGATTATTTCTCAATGAGATTATTATGAAATCGTATATTCAACTCACAATTTTTCGGTGAAAAAAAATACTAACATAAAATGTGCAATTGATATTGGAAATGTCTTTCGTAGAAAGGACTCACCCATTTTGGAAATAACTCCATCATCCATTACAATGATTAGATCGGCTTTCCAAAGAAATTTGGTATGATGTGTACATAGAATTCTTGTCTTCTTCCTTAGTAATCCCATGATGCACTTGTCATATATATGTCGTGCCACGTGACTGTCAACAGCTGCGAGAGGATCATCAAGAAGATAAACATCCTTGTTCTGGAGACGAAAAATACAATTGCTATTACAGAGAATGCAAACAACAGGAACAGTATGGTTGAATACTGATGAACTAATAAGCCATCTTACCTGATATATTGCCCGAGCTAGAGCAAGTCTAGCTTTTTGACCTCCACTTAAAGTTACACCATTTTCTCCAACTTCTGTCTTGTCTCCAGCTGGTAACATCTAAAACAAAATTGACTTTATAATAGGTCTATGATTTAACAGTTAAACCTGTATTCAAAGCGACCTGTTTATAATAAATACTTCTTTTAATTTCCGGAGTTGTACAGTTCAATCTAACTGAATAATACTTTAGTATAAAATCTCTACATACCTGTACGTCTCTCCGTAAAGACACTGCATCAAGAATCTCTGCATACTTTTGGCCGTTGAATGGATTGCCAAACAGAACGTTGTCTCTTATAGTTGTCTGTTGTATCCATGGTTCCTGACTCGCCAGTGCAAATCCTTGTTGGAGGTTCGATACCGAAATACTGCCATCTTCCCGAGCCATCTCAGCCAGTACAGCGTGCAGGAAGGAACTTTTACCCGCGCCCACTTTACCAATCACTCCAATGAACTGTCCCTAAACGGTTCATAAAAGGTTCCAATAAACAGTACTAACATTGGATATAATACTCGTTTATCAGATACTAATTATAACGGTGAGACATTTTAAATGCTATCTTGAATGAACGTCTCATTTACCAGACGTTTAAACAGCCTACTTACTTGTGAAATATCGAGAGTAATATTTCGCAGAGTTAATGTCCCTGACTCGGTGATTGCCTCCTCCGTCTTTGCATTTTGAATCCGACTGTCTTTTGACAGATTCATGCAAGCCTTCTTTTCCCATGAGAATCGTCCTGCATTCACTGATATCACGTTGTCAGACTCGCAAGTTTCTAAAACAAACCGCTTTTGATTATTAAAATGACAATACGGCCATTAATTATCAAAAGGTTAAACAATGTATATCGACAATTAGTTGATTATTTGAATTGGTTGCTTTATTTTACCTTTTGTTCCTACGTAGTAGTTATTGAGATCAATCTCTGGCAGAGCTATAAATTTCTCAACTCTTTCTAGAGATATTACTGCTTCAATAACACCATTAAATGCCATAGGGAGCTGGTCCAAGGATCCCATAAGCTTAAGAAATACCGCAACACAGGTAAATATCTACAAGAAATGAAGTTTGTCATAATCAGAATAAACGAAATACTAAGAATGTTTTGGACAATGACTGGAACTTTGAATACAGTGGGCAGCTAATGGAAATCAGTTTCGATTGGAAAGTGTAACAGGTGAACATTAGACACACTGAACAGAAAATATTATAGAACTCTCCCAACCCATCTCACAACATACAAAAACAAGATTTCAATATGTCTCAGACATAATGTGCAGGTACTGCAGTGGTCGAGGGGAGATAATAGCTCTTTCCTTCGGTACATACGGTACAATGTTAGTTTTGACAGAAATTGATGTTACATTAATTTCACTACGAATATATTATATTTCTTTCAGAATATCTCTAGTAAAAACGTTGATAAATTGATGTGTCTTTTAGCGGGTCACATCTTCTACAGAAAGCTACTACATTTAGAATAGACAGTTGCCATCATTTGAATAGATATTCTTTAATTATCATTACCTTTGAAGCCGTTAAAGTGTTGCCCAGCATGGAGTAGGCACTGAAGGTCAGTAGGGTCATCAGGATGGGAGTCAATGTCCATACATATTCTATGACGGCGCAAAGAACTTGTTTCTGTTTCATGGTTTGCAGTTCCGCCTCGCGCAGATTATCAATTACCATCCGAAAGTGTTTTTCCCATGTGTAAAACTTGATTATCTTTATTCCTCCCAAAACTTCATTCATTAACTAAGTGACACAACAAAAACAGTACTTTTAAAACCATGGCATCGATATGACCGGTAACCGTAGAATGAATAGTGAACAATTGAGTATACGGAATGTGTGACAAATAGCAACAGTATCTTCGTAATAATTTGTAGTCCAAAATGATTCCATTTTTATCACTAGTTGATTTCGTGAGTTATATTTATCCACAAACTTAAACATCAATGAGCTCGTCATAAAAGCCATGCAAAATGATATTATTTACAGTATGAAATCGGAATTCGTTTATAAAGTATTAACAATCAACATTTATGAAATGTCGTTAGTTTGTCTGTTGTATAGTTTTCATTTGCTTACTTGGATTGACCAAGAATTACATAATGGGTGTCGTTGATGAACAAGAAGACGCTGTCTCTTCCGGAACACATGGTTTTATTTTCCTTGTACTCTTTCAAGAGCCACCGTGTAAATCTTTCTCTTGCTCATATTTTGACCGAATTTAAGATAGCCATTATTGACATGTTTCTTTCATTACATCGTTATGTTAGAGTGTGTTGATCTATTAAAACCCTATAAATAAACTAACCTTCATTCGCCTGTCTTTTTGTTCCATAAGTGTCTTGCTGAGCACCATCTGCTTTGTTGATATTATCTTGTTTAATGGAATATGTATAAGACCGATCACCACTCCTCCCAGGAATGCGATTCCAACCAGTTGGTATAGGATATACATAGAAATAACGACTTCAATAGGAATTATCCAAATCCTATGGAAAAATTCACAAAATGCTACTATTCTGTCTGTATCTGTTCCAAGAAAATTGACGATCTGACCAGTGCTGAATTGTGATAGAGACACGGTATTCAGCCTTAGTATCTTTTCGTATATAGCCGTCATAACTGAAATCCTTACTTTGAAATAGACATGCAACTTTATGCATTCAAAAATACAATCGAAGAACGCAATTCCAAACAGAGACATAAACAATGCAAAAACATAGCGATATCCGAAATGTGATGGTCCTTCATCATTTTCAAAAAATGATATCAACATCCACAGTGAAATAGGACATGTAAAGGCCACCAGTTTTAGCATAAATTCTAGTAAACCGCATCTAATATAGAAATCCATTCCATAGGCTTTGTGTAACGCCTTCAGCAATGAGACCCTCTTCCGTCCGTCTGGATGTGTAGTATTACCCTGCAATACCTCAAGGAATTGTTCGTGTACCTTTTTCACGTTCAGATTCTTTGGCAAAGAAAACATGTCTTTGGAAGTCAGACTTCTTCTAGTTTGTCCCTTGTTCAAGAGTGGACGAACCCAGTCAAACGTTAACAGGGAGAACAGAGATACTCCGTCTTCGTTAACGGGAACGTCTGGTGATGGACAATCCTCTTTCGTTTCTTTTTGTGATTTCTGTTCGTGAAACAAATTACGATGTTTTCCCTGTGAATATTTGAGTCTATACAAGAGAGACAAAGTAATTATGACTATGAATGCCGAAATAATGGTAAAGTCTACACCATTGAATTTGTGTTCCGTAAAAAAGTCGTGGAAAACAGAGTAATCCACAGTTTGTAAAAATGTTGCATTGTCATCTTTATAAATGGAAACGTTGACGTTCTTGGCAGTTTGTGGAGTTAAAGAGAATTCCATTTCTGTAGAGCAGGTCTTTACCTGAAACAAATGTACTTCACCGCGTTAAAATTTTCCCATAAAAATTCCTTTCAAATGTGAATTTATATGGAATTGATGGTTTTGTTAATTCAATCTTGGCACGAACATACATATCATATTGTAAGACAAAATATGTATGATATTTTTATTAATGGACATTCATGCTTCTATTTTTCCTTCACGAAATTTAAACATGTAGACTTACTAAACTAAGTTATGGGAGACGAAATTACAATGTATATCGAGACCATTTTTCAGCTTCAGGAAGTACTGAAGTTCCTGTTGTAAATTAGGATCATCATCAACTTTGTTTTATCATTATTATTAGGAAAAGAAAACACTAACAAAAATGTTCGTAGTCGAAATCCAACATGGCCGTCTGTCGGCCATTTGCTTTTGTGATCAGTCCTAAAATCAAACGGGCACAGATAGGGACCAGGGAAATCTACATATGAAGTTTGAGAAAGAACCTTTGAAAAGTTTCTCAAGAAATACATTGTCAAAATCCAAGATGACAGTCTGTCAGCCATTTCGTTTTCCGGATAAATTCTAAATTATAAGAGCACAACTAACGTACAAGGTACATCTACATATGAAAAAGAGGCACATCCATCTGTGCTTCCTAAGAAATAGCGATAACAATATTGTTAACGTACGGACGAAGGGCGATAAATGATTTGAATAAGTCCACCATTTAAAAAAAATGAGGTTGTTGTGTTATTTATCAATATTCCTCAAGTAGGTAAATTTTCGCACTATCACTCCATAATGTCATACGGATACAATAAATGACGATTAAGTTTGTAGTTAGCTTTATCAAGATAAATCTTACACAACTACGTAATTTATCATTTTGTTTCTTACATGTAATAATGGAAGACAGCCAAATACGTCATCTAACATTCAAATACAGAAACGCCAACTATTGTTTCTATTTTACCTAAAAAAACAAAACATTATTTATCACCTGAGTGATTATTTTAGAGAATAGAATTATGTCTCACACTTGATCATGTTTAAAACAGTAGCAGGACCTGCCTCGTTTAATTACCTGGTTATCACGGAAAATTGTATGACTTTATTTGACATAACCACGTGAGAGTTGTCTCTCTTCTTCTTACACCGTAACATATTCTAATTAATGTTTTTGCTTTTTACGTCATAGACGTAAATGACTGCCATGGAATTACATTAAATTATTTTACTTATCTACAAAACGTGTGACTATATTTAATGTTACTAAGTGTTGTGCAATACACGATATGGAATCTTGCACGATCATCTACCTTATCGCTGTTACGCACGGTTCACTATTGGAAACAGGTATTTCATTTTTACTGGAAACTCGTCAACTGTTACAAATCATTACAAAGCAAGTCAGGAAGATGCTTTGTAATTTCCCTTTAATCGTTTACTTATATTTTTCAATTTTTATTACCTATAGAACTGTAAATTAAATAAATTAAAGCAACAGAATTGAATAATATTTAATTACATGTATTATAAACCGCATCAAACGCCAAATTTCTAGCAATATATTTGGGAAGTTAGATAAAAAAAATACATTTGATATATATTTATTCAGTCATGAAACGATACATCATGATTCTCACATGTTTCTACTTACAAATACTCTACATCGGAGGGTCTGTTAAGATAATTTGACTTACCGAACAAACAGTGCCAGCCTGATTGGACATTTACAACAGTGTTTCTGCCTCCAGCCCAGCTGATTGTCTTTAAACAGAAGAATCAATGCTTTATATACAAGTTTCTTCTTACCATTTATACGTAAAAGTCACTTGGACGAAGAAGTGTTGATGTGGTTTAATGTGTTACAACAGATTGTGAAAGAGTTGATAAATGAGCACTGCCTATCGAGCTAGCTAGGTGCGGTTACTGTTGTACTATGGCCGATAGAGACCGTACACAAAAATACCATTACAAACGATAGAACCATGTAAATGTAACATACATAAATTGTGGACAAAATCAAACATACATGAATAACTATTTTTGAAACTAATATATATGTACGTTTTGATATGTAACAGTTCAGAATACCTAATGACCAGTTCCTTATAATTATCTAGACCAGTTTTTTTAGCGTTCAGGAGATTTTCTCTTCCGGTTGTGGTCGCCAGAGATGAAGGAATTTATAGAATTAGGATACAATCTTAAAAACATTTAAATTATCACCTGCTTAATGTACAACACTATGTGAACAATTACTCCATGTGACCGTGCGCGTAATTGCATTTTTCATTTTTTAACTTTTTTTTCAACTTTGTGAATTTTCATTCATGGTGTTCCCATAGACTGGCACCTTTACAAATCAGTCACTAAATTATAAATATGAACAACAATACATCTGAAACGATTATTAGCAAACATTATTATTAGTTTGAATTCAGTGCAAACTGGCCATCCTGTTGCATGGAACAATTTTCACTCTGGCGATTATACAATGACCGTTCAAATGTATCCCATACCGTGTACACTCTCTACAATACTTACTGTGGTCAATCTTCGAGCCTGATTCCAGTATCACCATGTGTATTGATGAAAATCGGGGGTCATTACAATAATTCCATCTACAGATAAACTATTTCATTTCAATATAGTTATGTGCTACATTAAGTAAGTATGGTCATCACCGTCCATCGTACTTCGGATGCGGTACCATCTTCGGTATATCAAAACACATTTCAGGTCAAAATATCCTTTAAAATATAGCACAAAATGTAAGCTTTGATGTGCTAATAATACCCACCAGCTTATCGGCTGTTGTGATTAAGTACTGCTTAAAATTTCTTGAAACAATCCTAAAATATCCGGATATTATCGCTTTAAAGTTTAACAATTATATAAGCGAGACTTATATTGATGTCAGTATACAAGCGAGACTTATACTGATGTCAGTATACAAGCGAGACTTATATTGATGTCAGCATACAAGATAAAATCAGATTTATATTAAAATATTATATTCATTTTTTTTTCTACAATTCAGTTGGTAAAAAGAAAGAAAAAAGAACTGAGAGGGGGTTTAACATTAAGTTGAACACCGCTGACGCCGGAGTGCTCACATTATCCGCTAAATAAGCTCGCTAACAAATCTGAACGTAGAGACATCAAAGGTGACACATTTACTAATACTAAACAACAGTAATGATACACATAAAAACGCTATCTCGATAAAAATAATTTCTTTCTATAAATAAATGACGAATTCAGTAAAATTAACAATTAATCTACTGTTAAAGAATCAAGATATTTTCTTTTACACTACCAAAGCTACAATTAGTAAGACGATTTATTTCTCTAAATATACAATCATAACCAACATTATGATTACAGTGGAATTCAATTACTTATACGGGAAGCTGACACGGTTAAATGAATCAGATTACTGGAAAAGCATTTGTTTTAAAATTGTCTTGGTCTTAGTGTGTACCACATATGACAAAACTGATTGAATGAATATAAGTATTGTGTTTATTTACGGTAAAAATGAAGGGCATTTACCATGAATCCATAATACCTGATATGTTTAAAGTCAGACAATACTTGGGTTAATGATTTCGCGACACGTGTATTACCATGACTTGTACAGTACTTTTTACTGTATATAGCTTCACGCGAGAGTGATATCGACTTAAAACATACCAATTGTCATAGCTTAATTTCCATTGTAAACGATGGTCTTTCTCAGTCCGATACTTAATTTATTTGATAATTCGATAAATTTCGTAAAAAAACAGTTAGTAGTGAAAACAGAGATTTGTCAAAATTTCCAGTCAGTTGTGCAAACATTACGATATTGAATTTACATAGATAGTGGGCAGGTGTCGCCCTATCCTATATTTATCAATCACCGATCCTGTATCTATAGGTGTGACGTTTTCGGAGATTATTTTTGAGTTTAAAACAAACATGATCCTTCCTGTTGAGTTTTAGATAGAATGTTTTCCTATTATTTCCCTTCGTGTGTGCACACTTCTGTGTCGGTTACATCCATACATCCTGACGACAATATTCCAGTCTGTAAAACGTGTTAAGTCAGTATAAATTCTCATATTTCGTCAAAATTATTTTTCATTTATTACATCATTTCATAATGGTGGAAGTCGCCAATGCGTGTACAAAGCAGACTGGGAGAGTCTTGCTTCTGTTTCTTTGTGCGACGTATCCCACGTCGTTAAAATGATAAGTGCAGCGAGAAGTGACAGACATGTAGGGTACATTGTGACATTGTTACAGCAGTGAGAGTTGATGGGCAGATAGGGTACATTATGTAACAAGATAAATTACAAATAACAAAATCAAATGCAATATATGTTTTATTAGGTATTTCTCTAAACATCGCACACGACAATGTAAAATTAAGATCTAATGCGACGTTGTTTTTAATAAAATCTTGCAAGTCATCCCAAATTCATTTACCACATCACAATAAAAGTTACACGGTCTCCTGCTCTCCTCTCCATTAAGTCCTTTGAACAGTTGTATCCACATCTGCTATTTAGTGCCAGCTTACCTCTTTATCCCTGTACAAACCATCATTTATCTATTGGTGGAATAGTTCCTTTAATCTGATCCCTCTTACCAGCCCATATAATGTTACTGTCAGTAAGTCTTTTAAACAGTAATCCTTCCTTTAACAGCATTCTTCTTTCCCATTGTTTGATTAATCACTGTTTGCTTCTCATAGTTTTCCTTTTTTTATCAATGTCGACAATGAAATCAACATCTGTCACGGAACTTTTTGATTCCCCTTTTAATCTCCATCTAACATGAAGGTTATACCTCATTACTGATTTTTTTACCCTATCCATACCACTTTAGTTTTAAAGTAATTTACTTTCAACAGCAGTATCATTGCATACTGATACACCACTGGTTCCTCATTTCATATTACAATTTATTTTTTTTTCTTTATGTTATACATATCTAGCTAGGATATCAGTGTGTAACTGTACCACCCACCTGATGTGTCTGGAACATATCTCAGGTAAACTGTTGACATCCTGTGTTTGGCTATAGTTGAATGAAAAATAGTTTATGACAAAACTATGCTCATGTCAATATCTCCCTCTACAAACGGAGGTTTGTTTATTGTGGGTAGGAATTCACTCGATGGAGACTTTATAATTGTATTAATCCATAAAAAGTACAAATGACTACATATTGTTAGGAAGAAGAGAAATTGCGGGCAAGAATCTCCGTTTAAAGACATGGTATTACCAAATTGAAAAAAGGCAATTTGTTAAAATTGTCTTGGTTTAATTAAAATGTCTGAATCTGTTTCTGTAAATAAGCTAACACATCAAAATTGCTATAAAGAAAAATAAACTTTTTATATATTTATATATTAAGCAACAGAATCTATACATCGTTAGTAAATGGTTAGGAGATGTATTTCATGGTACACATATACAGTAATTACTACACATCTCTGATTAATACCAAATCAAAAAATAGATTTTTAAAGGATGAATTACTTATGATAAAATTCAAGGACAATGCTGGAAAATGACAGTAACATCGCATGACTTCTATGTAAAGTGATAAAAGTATTTCAAATCTCTCCTTGAGAAAATAACACTAATATTACATAATTCTGTATCGGAAACACATATATATAATATTATCTGTAAAGAAATAGCATTGATATGGAATCTTTATTTGGATTGAAAAAATACAGATAAGAAAAGTTCAACAAACATATGTAACTCTTTTATCATTAAACAAAATATAGGTCATTACACATGGATCCCTTAACCGTTCTTGTACAAACCTGAGGAAAATGTCATGGACCCAAATGTAAAATCATCCAATCCTTTTTTCAGTATGTATTAATATAAAAATCACAACTCTCAACCCAAACAATTGGTAACAAAGTTTTTGGTAATATGCCATTATATGTATAAGTTGTATAAAATATCACTGACTATATACATAGTACATGTATATACCACCAGAATCCTTCCACGCCATACAAACAGCTGCAAATAATGCAGACAGTAACAATGATAACAACAAATAGAAAATAATTCTTCATTAAAATGGACAATTTTAGTGTGATATTTAAGTCACAACAGTCAGCTGCAGGAACCAATTGTATTCTCAAGTCATGTTCTTTGTTACTGAAACGATATCATTTCATGTTTACTTTGTACAAACTTAGGGCAGAGACAAACGTAACACAAAATGCAATGTGTAATATACATCTCTGTATAGTGAAACAAAAATTCCTTCACTTTCTTCAGATTGGTAATGTCAATAGATTAGGTTTCTAAAAACAAGTTCCCTTTTAACTGCTTTATCTGTGAAATAGAATAAATTTGACATCATATTCAAACCATGCTGACACCAGCTGACCATAATATGAAGATTGTCTTAATATGTCTGAAATGATCAACCCTTTAATGGATATAATCAAAGATCCCTGCCAAGACGGTCTATTTCATCAATCACAAACTCCATGTCTTCTTTTGTGACGTCTAGATTTGACACGATCATTCTAAAGAAGTTGACTGTTTCCCCATCTGGTTGGTAGCCGATAAGCATAGTCCCATTCACCGTCATTCGCTCTTTGATAGTAGGTGCAACCTGAACAGTTAATGAAAACTCGATTAGTCTCGCAATGATATCAGATGAAAAATGATAAATAATCAAACTAACCATAAATATCTAGATTATTGAAAGAATAATTTGGAAACCCATTCTCAAACCTTTAAAGTAGCAAAAAATTGTCCGAGTTTCATCCTCCCCAACTGCAACTCTGCTGAATTTTGATATGACTATTGAAAACTTAAAGAGCTATTTGACATGCATATACCTTGGAACATAAATATCAAGAAAAAAATGTGAAGGGTGATTTGTATTGCTTTGATGTGATCAGTCATAACAGAATTTTTATGATTTATCTAAAGCTTCTCTGACTGTGTAGTATACTCACCTTGGACAGTCTCTGGTTCCACGCTGCGTCCTCAGGTTGGCCACGCATGCTGGGAGGTATATACCAGAAACACACGTTTGAACACTGTGGCTGTAAACAACATTTATTTATGTCTGTATTAAAAGGGCAAAAAATTCAAGTCCTGAGTACTGGGACATGGGAGGGGGTATATACCGGTAATATGTGAGTGTTATGAAGGGACAGGGGTGGGTGGGTTTGGGAAAGGGGGTTAACGATTTAACACTAACTTGTTCAACAGTCCTTTGTTAGAGAAACCATTATACCAAATAATTTGAATGTTTACAGAATACAGACCATCTTGTCCTCCCTGATCAAGACATATGTAAATTATTTTTTCTACATGCATTTGGAAGTTTGAATATTTAATACATTGTTGTTGAAGAATTGAATATAGAATAAAGAATACATACCTTCTTTATCAAAAGTCTAAAGCCATCACGCTCATCAATAAGTTCAGCTAGGTACCTAAAAAACAAATTTTGTTGAGATTAAGATCATTGTAAAATAATGTGAACTTATGTATTACCTAACAGAAGTTATTAAGTCAACTTCAGGTGAATTCAAGAGCCAGGGTGGAATTTCTATCGCGCCAAATGACTGAATTTGGTCAATATCAATATTTGTGTTTTGTAAAAGAGTGGAAATCTGAATACCGAATGGTCTTTGGTTTGTTTTGAAACAATGTTTTATGTTTTGGATCAAATATAAGTTAAAAGTAGGATTTACAGGATTGGCTTTAGCTGAATGGTGTATTGCAAGGCCAATTTATTTCGACGGCTATATAGTGAGTATTTGTTAGCCTCTACATAGAGGCTTGCTGTAGGTGTCACCTTAAAAGCTCTGAGAGCGAGCCCCAAACCCTGGTGATGAACAGTGTCTCATAATTTGAGATATGAAGGTCTTACAGATCCATACACAATGGAACTTTAGTCAAATTTTGATCTATTAAGAGATCTATAAAGTCTTAGCAAAACTTTTATATCAGTTCCCCAACCAGTGTGGGACACCGCCTTTAGAATATTCAATGCCTTAAGGCATTTGGCTTTAATGTATTTTATATGTGGAAGGAACGACAATTTCCTGTTGAATATTACACCTAAGAATTTGGTTTGCTCAAAAACCAGAATGGGTACACCACAAAGAAATAGATTTGAATTGTTGTGTTGGTTCAGCATTTGATAAAACTGCATACAAACTGTTTTTGATTGTGAAAATTTAAAACCATTTTCATCTGCCTAAATTTGTAGTCGATTGAAACATTGTTGTAGTTGTCTTTCGATGGTATTCATATGCTTAGATTGATACCATATAATGAAGTAATCAACATAGAGAGCCCTCCATTGAAGGGGATAATGTTTTGACAATATTGTTAATTTAAAGTTCGAAAAGTGTAACTGAGAGAATGGTGCCTTGTGGTACACCCATTTCCTGCTGATGAACATCAGAAAGGGTTGTTCCATTCCGGACTTTAAATACTCTATCTGATAGAAAATTTGAAATAAAATTTGGTAGATGACCTCTAATACCAGTGAATGTGAGGAAATGGAGCATCATTCACTGTACCAAACACAGTGAATGTAGTACAGTATCTGTAAGGGAATGGCGTATCATTCACTGTACCAAACACAGTGAATGTATTACAGTATTTGTGATAGACTGTAACACCAATCAAGAAGTATAGTAAGTATACTTACCTTCCACAGTCCATGATGTTGTCAATGTCCTTCTCGAATTGAATGTCTCCCTTCGCTTTCCATTGCAGCCAGAGTTTGAGGACATCTACTTTGCGACCACACTGGATCGACTTGTCACCAGTATCATATGACACATCATAGAACTTGTCCTGTTGAAACAGGTAGGTAGCCTGGGCAGAGTGGCACTCGGGTAGGAGATTCTGGAAGACACCATTGGGACATTACAGAAATGTTGTACCTAGAGTATGATAAGCTTTTTGAAACCTCTACCACATAAACAAGGTAAAATGTTAAATTGTGATGCCAAACCAAGGGAGAGGATCTAAAGTACTATACATAGAGCTTGCTGTGTGCTTGGCACCTCAAAAAATTTACCCTGATAGTGACCATATCTCAATTTACTGAGACAAATGTTTCATCTTGTAAGCCTTTTCACATGTTGACACTTCAAGAATGATACATGGAGATAAATATGGATGTTCAACATGGGATATGAACATCTTACATTATGCAGAGTTCAGAGAAACATGTTCTGTGTATAGATAGATGCACACTGGAATATTCCATTTAGAATTTAAACTTCATTTTTTGACAAAGTTCATTACCATAGAAAAGTTGAAGTTTTCCAATAGGATATATGTGACATTATTCATATTGCAATAGGCCTCATTCACGAAATTCTCTACAAACCAACTGATCAAATATTGTTATTACCAGTATCTATATGAATGGGAGTGACTGACCTTGTGTCTGGTGAGGAAAGCTGAACACTGGAGAGGGGCTCCCATCATTTTGTGAGGATTCCATGTCAAAGAGTCAGCCCTGAAAAATATATCTAGGATTTAGCTTTCTGTGTATGAGAATATATCACAAACTGTCCACCTCAGTGCCACATGTAACATCACAGCAAACCCTGTAAATGTAGTTAATGAGGAATCTCATTAGTGAAAAGTATTTAGTTACATACATGTAACAATTTCCATAAATTATGACCAAATATGTAGTTATTCTTCAAATTATATATCAAATAAAATCTGATGTGGGGTATAACATCTACTGAAATACTTTGAAAAATTTACTTACAGAATAAGTGACAAGCACAAATTTCTAACGTATACCAAGTCAGATGAATTGATCTGAACCAGATATGGACAGAAGGATAATACACACTAGCTGACTTCAATCTGAATTATTCATACCTACAATATACCCAATTAGCTAAAGGATATTTGATATTATATAGCACATTAAAATGTCTGGATACTGTGAAGTCTTAGAGCAATTTGTCCTAATACTTGTAATGTCAGACCATTAAACCCACAGAGTGTGTGTCCCTTTATGTTGTTACCAGTAGTTGACCTGTAAATTCCCATCACCATACCTATAATGTTCATCAGACCATTAAACCCACAGAATGTGCCTCCCTATATGTTGTTACCAGTATTTTACCTGTAAATTCCCTTTATCATACCTATAAAGTTTGTGTGACCATTAAACCCACAGAATGTGCCTCCCTATATGTTGTTACCAGTAGTTTACCTGTTAATTCCTTCATAACACCTACAAAGTTTGTCAGACCATTAAACCCACAGAATGTGCCTCCCTATATGTTGTTACCAGTAGTTTACCTGTTAATTCCTTCATAACACCTACAAAGTTTGTCAGACCATTAAACCCACAGAATGTGCCTCCCTATGTGTGGTTACCTGTAGTTTACCTGTTAATTCCTTCATAACACCTACAAAGTTTGTCAGACCATTAAACCCACAGAGTGCGTCTCCCTATGTGTGGTTACCTGTAGTTTACCTGTTAATTCCTTCATAACACCTACAAAGTTTGTCAGACCATTAATCCTACAGATTGTGTCTCTCTACTTGCTGTTACCAGCAGTTTACATATGTACCTGCCGATGCCCTTCATGAGCGACCTGTACTTCCTTGACAGCAGGACTCCACCTCCCCAAGCAGCATCCACATGCATCCAGATGCCAAACTTCTGGCAGACATCAGCAATTTCCTCTAGAGGATCATATGCCCCAAATACGGTCGTCCCGGATGTGGCATTAACCACATAGGGTTCATAGCCCTGTCACACAGGAATAAAGATGTATCAACATCTACTTTTTTCCTAAACAAACACCTGAATAGGCTGTACGATACAGTATCAAGATTTTAATAGATCCAACAATGATAATAGATGAAAAATCAGTCTACTTTATTCACAACTGTATTAAAATTCAGTATAATAATTCTAACTGAGTTTGTACAGTTATATTTTCTGAGTTAGCTGAGATTTCTAAATTTTTCAATGCTATGATAAAGACAGGATTCTACTTTGTTAATTAGCAATAGCTTTTCTATTCAGAAATTAGCAGCAGTTATTGCCCTCTGGTTTCAGCTATAAAACCTTTTTTCTGATTTATTTAAGACTATTCCACTTTAGTGTTAGCTGGGATGATCCACTTTCGTATAAACTCAGGCTTCTTTGTTCAGGATAAATTCAGACTGTTCAGCTCAGCTTTAGAAGTTCTGTAAAAACATCAATAAATATATCAAGGTTGTGTTATATTTTTTCCTTTCTCACCTCTGCCTTCAGTTCAATGATCCTTTCTTCCAGAGCAGATGGTATCATGCGACCCTCCGCATCAGTCTTGACAGGAAATACATTGTCCACTCCTACTCCAATGAAAGCTGCACCTTTCTTCAGGGAGTAGTGGGCCTACAGATAAAGTCATATACAAGGTCATTCTGAGATACACACAGCAGGTGAAATGTAATGAAAGTTTGTGAAAAAAAACAGTAGCTCACCTGTTGTCAGAATATCATTAGTGATATGTATATTATATACATATAGTATGGTAGGTAAGGTAGGCAGGTATGAATATTATGTATACAAGTTTGGAACGTAAGGTAGACAGAGGTCTGATAATTATGTATACCTGTATGGTAAGTAATGAAGACAGGTGTAATAATTATGTACACAGGTCTGGTAAGTAATGTAGATAGGTATGATAATTAGGTATACAGATATGGTAAGTAATGTAGACAGGTATGATAATTATGAACAAAGGTATGGTAAGTAATGTAGACAGGTATGATAATTATGAACAAAGGTATGGTAAGTAATGTAGACAGCTATGATAATTATGAACAAAGGTATGGTAAGTAATGTAGACAGCTATGATAATTATTCATACAGGTAGTTTAGGTAGATAGATATGATAATCATGAATACAGGTAGGTAAACAATGTAGACAGGTGTGATAATTATGTATACAGATATGGTAAGTAATATAGACCGGTGTGATAATTATGTATACAGATATGGTACACTGTAGGTAAGGTTTACAGGTGTTATGATTATGTGTACAGGTATAAAAGGTAATGAAGACAGGTATGATAATTACATAAACAGGTATGTTAGGTAAGCTATACAGGTATGATAATTACATAAACAGGTATGTTAGGTAAGCTATACAGGTATGATAATTACATAAACAGGTATGTTAGGTAAGCTATACAGGTATGATAAACAGGTATGTTAGGCTATACAGGTATGATAATTACATAAACAAGTAAATGATAATTATTCATACAGGTAGGTAAATAATGTAGACAGGTGTGATAATTATGTATACAGATATGGCAGGTCTTTTAGAATCTTACCTTTTCTGATGACAGAATGCACAGTCTTGGTAAACCATGCATACCTGCTCGTTTCACTTCAGGCCATCGCTGATATCTGGCCAAGTTAAGGGCATACATGTTGGACACAGAACCACCTGTACAAAGAAACACCATGATTTGTTTTAGATCAAGTTTTATATATTGTAACACTTGATAACAAAGAAATTATTTCAGTGCTATGCTAGGCATAATAATAACAAAAACCAGCTGATCATGAAAAAGAGACAGAAGCCATCATTGTGGATGAGCAAAGTCCAAACAAAAGTGCATGCTCCAAACACCAACACTATGCTGTGTTAATATCCTGATGTCAAACTAAACCATGCTAAATGTTGGAGGGCTATTTATCCACTTATGCCCAGCAATTATATAAATACAGTTTAAGGTTTAGATGTTTTACAAAGTGCAGCTTTCATTAACCATTTCTGCTAATCAGAACAATGTTGATTCTCCTTCCTTATTCAATATGTGATTCAAAAAAGTTGGTAAAATCCCTCTTTACTCTGGACATGGATTTTCAAAATGTATTCCCCTTTGGAGCAGAGACTCTTTTGACCAAAGAAAGAATCCATTTGTTAGTTTAATAATGCTTCTGACTTTTGAGAGAGAGGTCAAAACATCCCCCTCCCAATTAACAGTGTCATACCTGGACAGAAGATGGCATCTCCATCTTGAAATCCTGCTAGGTCAAGCATTTTCTTCAACACAGTCTTTTCCATCAACGTGAATACAGGTGACACTTCATATGTATACCTGTAACGTAAATCAGGTAAACACAGTCAAGTTTGTTCAATGATATTCCAAGTTCTGTACCCTATAATCTATGTACCCCCATCATCTTAATTCAATAATATCTTGAGTATCTATGCTGTGGTATGCTATTTCCTATGCTGTAGATAGTCTTCTCAAGACATTTCTTGGAAATTCCCTTTTGTCATACATGAGAGTCTTTTGCCTTATCCTAAACAAAAGGTGATGAAAGAGATTGATTTTAATGACTTTACTTAATGTATACTATGAAATATGCTCTGACTAATCACTAACACATCTCTGTTTTAAATCCGAGGGAGCAAAAATGACAATTATGAGAGAAGAAATCTGTAAAAGCTGGTTATGGCACGCAGCGAGAGATACAGGCTGTACCAGTACATACTGACTAGTGTTGAGTGTTTCTGTCAGCCACGCTCCACCCAAACTGTACTGATCTAAACCTCCAAACAGCTGATTGAAGAACCTAGGGTGACCTATATTGAGAAAACAATCACAAAAATATGCCCTGGAAAAAAAAATCTCATTCCAATTAGGAATGAATTACCATGATTGATGGTATTGATTACCAGAACTGTTATATCTCCAATCAGTCCTAAAACTTCAAATTTGAAATACCCTTCATGTAAACATAATTTGCAAACAAATAATAACAAAATGTCTCACAAAAACTTGCATTGATTAAAGCACAGGGGCAAGATCTTAATTAATCTATACAAAGTTACACAGGGGCAACATCTTAATCAGTTTATACAAGGTTACATAGGGGCAACATCTTAATAAGTTTATACAAGGTTACATAGGGGCAATATCTTAATATGTTTATACAAGGTTACATAGGGGCAACATCTTAATAAGTTTATACAAGGTTACACAAGGGCAATATCTTAATAAGTTTATGCAAGGTTACATAGAGGCAATATCTTAATAAGTTTATACAAGGTTACATAGGGGCAACATCTTAATAAGTTTATACAAGGTTACACAAGGGCAATATCTTAATAAGTTTATACAAGGTTACACAGGGGCAACATCTTAATAAGTTTATACAAGGTTACACAGGGGCAAAATCTTAATAAGTTTATACAAGGTTACATAGGGGCAATATCTTAATAAGTTTATACAAGGTTACACAGGGGCAACATCTTAATAAGTTTATAAGTTTATACAAGGTTACATAGGGGCAACATCTTAATAAGTTTATACAAGGTTACTCAGGGGCAAAATCTTAATCAGTTTATACAAGGTTACATAGGGGCAATATCTTAATAAGTTTATACAAGGTTACACAGGGGCAACATCTTAATAAGTTTATACAAGGTTACTCAGGGGCAAAATCTTAATCAGGTTATACAAGGTTACATAGGGGCAATATCTTAATAAGTTTATACAAGGTTACATAGGGGCAACATCTTAATAAGTTTATACAAGGTTACACAGGGGCAAAATCTTAATCCATTTATACAAGGTTACACAGGGGCAACATCTTAATAAGTTTATACAAGGTTACACAGGGGCAACATCTTAATAAGTTTATACAAGGTTACACAGGGGCAACATCTTAATAAGTTTATACAAGGTTACACAGGGGCAAAATCTTAATAAGTTTATACAAGGTTACATAGGGGCAAAATCTTATTCAGTTTATACAAGGTTACATAGGGGCAAAATCTTATTCAGTTTATACAAGGTTACACAGGGGCAAAATCTTAATCCATTTATACAAGGTTACATAGGGGCAATATCTTAATAAGTTTATACAAGGTTACATAGGGGCAATATCTTAATAAGTTTATACAAGGTTACACAGGGGCAACATCTTAATAAGTTTATACAAGGTTACACAGGGGCAAAATCTAAATCAGTTTATACAAGGTTACATAGGGGCAATATCTTAATAAGTTTATACAAGGTTACATAGGGGCAATATCTTAATCAGTTTATACAAGGTTACATAGGGGCAACATCTTAATAAGTTTATACAAGGTTACATAGGGGCAATATCTTAATAAGTTTATACAAGGTTACACAGGGGCAAAATCTAAATCAGTTTATACAAGGTTACATAGGGGCAACATCTTAATACAAGGTTACATAATAAGTTTATACAAGGTTACATAGGGGCAACTTAATAAGTTTATACAAGGTTACATAGGGGCAATATCTTAATAAGTTTATACAAGGTTACACAGGGGCAAAATCTAAATCAGTTTATACAAGGTTACATAGGGGCAATATCTTAATCAGTTTATACAAGGTTACATAGGGGCAACATCTTAATAAGTTTATACAAGGTTACATAGGGGCAAGATCTTAATCAGTTTATACAAGGTTACATAGGGGCAATATCTTAATAAGTTTATACAAGGTTACACAGGGGCAAAATCTAAATCAGTTTATACAAGGTTACACAGGGGCAAAATCTAAATCAGTTTATACAAGGTTACATAGGGGCAATATCTTAATCAGTTTATACAAGGTTACATAGGGGCAATATCTTAATCAGTTTATACAAGGTTACATAGGGGCAATATCTTAATCAGTTTATACAAGGTTACATAGGGGCAATATCTTAATCAGTTTATACAAGGTTACATAGGGGCAATATCTTAATAAGTTTATACAAGGTTACACAGGGGCAACATCTTAACTGATTTAGACAAAGTTATACAGGGGCAAAATCATAAATGATTTAGAAAAAGTTACACAAGGGCAACATCTTAATAAGTTTATACAAAGTTACACAGGGGCAAGATCTTAATATGTTTATACAAGGTTACGCAAGAGGCAAAATCCTAATTGCTTTAGAAAAGGTTACATAAGGACAATACCATAACTGATTTTTACAAAGTTACCTAGGGGCAATACCATAACTGATTTTTACAAAGTTACATAGGGGCAATACCATAACTGATTTTTACAAAGTTACACAGGGGCAATACCATAACTGATTTTTACAAAGTTACACAGGGGCAATACCATAACTGATTTTTACAAAGTTACACAGGGGCAATACCATAACTGATTTTTACAAAGTTCCATAGGGGTAATACCATAACTGATTTTTACAAAGTTACACAGGGGCAATACCATAACTGATTTACACAAGGTCACATAGGAAAACATTATCAATTTATCCAAGGTTTCACTGGGAAAAATCTTAATTTATAAATATAGGTTGTACAGGGGCAAAATCATATATGGTTTATACAAGGTTACAAAGGGGGTATATCTTAATTTATAAAAGGTAACAGAAGGGCATTGTATTCTGAAACTGTGGATGCAGTTACCTTCATCAATGTATTTTGAAACTCGGGATACAGTTACCTTCATCAATGTATTTTGAAACTCGGGATACAGTTACCTTCATCAATGTATTTTGAAACTTGGGATACAGTTACCTTAATCTATGTATTTTGAAATTGGGCATACAGTTACCTTAACCTATGTATTTTGAAATTGGGCATACCGTTACCTTAATCTATGTATTTTGAAATTGGGCATACCGTTACCTTAATCTATGTATTTTGAAATTGGGCATACCGTTACCTTAATCTATGTATTTTGAAATTGGGCATACCGTTACCTTCATCAATGTATTCACATTGGTAAAGTGCAAGTCCTGACTTTCACAATGTTTTTAAGTTTTGTATCCTCGTTCAGGTGTAATGTGGTACATTGATATATGGATCTTAATCAAACTATTTCATGCCAATGGAATCAAAGTTCTTGACATCCAGTTTGATTTTCAACTAGTCAAATAGATTAATGTGTTTGCAATATGCTTAATTGATAAATTGGAGATTTATGTACAAACTTTATCAAATTTCACAAAAAATCACAAATGACCACAAAACTCTCTTCTGTAACACGTGTGATCAGTAATACAAACTAAATGTATTTGCATCCGTCTCCGTTCTACTGGGAAAATGAATGTGCTGATGATATTAATATTTAAATTATTGATGATATACCCACCAGTCTTAACACTATATCTAATGACATCACTGCATATCTCCATCAAGTGTTCATCAGATGTAGGTTTGTTGAGTGACAGATCCATCAGGTTTTCTAGCTCCTTTGGATGCTTGAATTCAACCACTCTACTCTCCCTCTTTGTGGATTCTTCAAGCACTTTAGTGACCATAAGGTTTACAAGAGGTTGAAGAAAACTGTACTCATTTTTTGCAGAGCCGTGTCCATTTTCTGCATAGCTACTTCCATTCTGTATCTTGACACCTTTAGCTGTTCCATTGACGGCATCAGCTACGACACCAGAGTTAGCACTCTTTGAAGATACTAAAATGAAATGTTAAAAAAAAATTAACAAACTTATATTGAATATTTGTGAAATAAAACAAGATCACAAAAATTCAGTAGACACCAGTAAACCTATCAATTTGTTTAACTTTCAATTTGGCCATTTGGTAATTGCTGAGTCATGCTAGTCTACTCTTTATTAGTTAAATGTATCCCTCTCTCTCTGTCACACCTGTTCCTCCTAGTCTGTCATACATGTCTCCCTGTCTGTCAAATGTGTTCCTCCCAGTCTCTCAGACACGTCCTCCCTGTTTTCACAGATGCCCTGCCCTGTCTCCCAACTGTGTCCCTCCCTGACTGTCAGATGTGTCCCTCCCTGTCAACTAGGTCTGCCCCTCCCTGTCAGTCAGTTGTGCCTCTTCCTGTCAGTCAGTTGTTCCCCTCCCTGTTTGTTGAGCCCCTCTCTGTCTGTCACAAGTGTTTCTCCATGTAGTTATTATCACAGATATTCCCCTTTGTCTCGAAATGGATATGTTTTCTTTGTTGTAACAGGTCTTTCTCCCTGTCTCTCACACAGACCTCTGCTCATGTTTTGCAGATATTCCTTTGGGTATCGTTCCATGAATCCAAACACAACAGTATATATTGTACTATCTACTTTCCTACAGACTGTCTACAGAAATAGTCCTGCTTTGAATGCGAGAGGACAAATTACTGTACGGTAAGTACTACAGACTGATAACAACAGGGCCCTATGCTAATTGATCAAAATTCAGTGCTGAAACATGACTTGCTAATAGTAAGTAATGATAAATACTGAGTGACATTTTTTAGTTAACCACCAGTGTATCGATCTCCTACTAAATTGAATATTTATAGAAATAAATAGTGTCTGCTGTTATAAGACTTATCAGCTTTTCAGTGTATCAAAGCAAAAGTCTCCTATTTAAAATCTTCAAACAGTTAAATTAAGAATGGAAACTTCATCATAAAGTTGTTATGCTGATGAAGTATTACTTGCTAACAAAAAAGTTTTTTCTCAATTATTGAAAAAAAAACAAAAAAGAACCAGTTACTTAGTTTTCTGGCTCAAAGCAAAATTAGAATAATGAAATATGACATACACACTAACAAGGGTTTCAACAGTTTTTCTGGGTATCTACATGCACTGAGGCATAGCAAAGTATCCACAAGACTTACACAACCGTATAGGTTAGAAAACAGATAGAGACGCTAAGGTAAAATGTAAGATAGGGACATTGGAGAGGGACATCAGATAAGGAACTACAACACAACCATAAGTTACAGGGACAATGGATAGGGGCATTTGATACTCAATAGACAAATTACACAGGAACACTCAATTAGGTCACTAGATCAAATACTCAATGAGGACACTCAATGACAAATGTATGGCACATTTAATGAATCACTCCATGCAGACACTAGATAAGGACATTAATCAGGATACTCAATGGAGACACATGATAATTAATAAAGACACTCAATTAAGACTATTGTTTGGGACGCACACTGGACACATTTGATTTGATCATTAATTTAGACACTTAATGGAGACAATATGTGTAGACATAAGTAATGGAGATACATGGTAGGGACATTCAATGGAGACTCTTAATAGGGACATTCAATTGAGGCATCTGATTGGGACACTTAATGGTGACAATAGATAGGGACACTCAATTGACACACTTGCTAGGGACACTAAGTGGAGACAATAGATAAGAAGTATCAATATAGACACATGTAAAGGACACAAGATAGGGACATTCAATACGGAGACCTAATATGATAGTGACACTAGATAGGGACATTCAGTAGAGACTTAATAAGGACACTCAATGGAAACACTTGATAGGAACATCAACCTGAGACACTAGATAGGGACACCCAACTGAGAAACTAGATAGAAACACTCAACTAAGACACTAGATAGAGACACTCAACTGAGACACAAAATAGAGACACTCAACTGAGACACTACACAGAGACACCCAACTGAGACACTAGATATAGACACTAGATATAGACACTCAACCGAGACACTAGTTAGACACTCAACTGAGACACTAGACAGAGACACTCAACTGAGACACTAGATAGGGAAACTCAACTGAGACACTAGATATTGACACTCAACTGAGACACTAGATAGAGACACTCAACTGAGACACTTGATAGGGACATCAACCTGAGACACTTGATAGGGACATCAACCTGAGACACTAGATATAGACATCCAACTGAGAAACTAGATAGAAACACTCAACTAAGACACTAGATAGAAACACTGAACTGAGACACAAAAAAGAGACACTCAACTGAGACACTAGACAGAGACACCCAACTGATACACTAGATAGAAACACTAGATATAGAAACTCAACTGAGACACTAGATATAGACACTCAACTGAGACACTAGATAGAAACACTCAACTGAGACACTTGATAGGGACACTCAACTGAAACACTAGATATAGACTATCAACTGATACACAAGACAGAGACACTCAACTGAGACACTAGATAGAAACACTGAACTGAGACACTAGATATGGACACCCAACTGAGACACTAGAGAGACACTCAACAGAGACACTAGATATGGAACCTCAACTGAGACACTAGCTATAGACACTCAACTGAGACACTAGATAGAGTCACTCAACTGAAACACTTGATAGGGACACTCAACTGAAACACTAGATATAGACAATCAACTGATACACAAGATAGAGACACTCAACTGAGACATTAGATAGAGACAATCAATGGAGACACTAGATAGATACACTCAACTGAGACACTTGATAGGGACATCAACCTGAGACACTATATAGGGACACCCAACTGAGAAACTAGATAGAAACACTCAACTAAGACACTAGATGAGACACTCAACTGAGACACAAAATAGAGACACTCCACTGAGACACTAGACTGAGACACCCAACTGATACACTAAACAGACACTCAACTGAGACACTTGATAGAGACACTAGATATAGACACTCAACTGAAACACTAGATATAGACTATCAACTGATACACTAGATAGAAACACTCAACTGAGACACTAGATACGGACACCAAACTGAGACTAGACAGAGACACACAACTGAGACACTAAATAGGGAAACTCTACTGAGACACTAGATATAGACACTCAACTGAGACACTAGATAGAGACACTCAACTGAGACACTAGATAGAGACAATCAACTGATACACAAGATAAAGACACTCAACTGAGACACTAGATAGAGACACTCAACTGAGACATTTGATAGGGACACTCAACTGAGACACTAGATATAGACACTCAACGGAGACACTAGATAGAGACAATCAACTTATACACAAGATAGAGACACCCAACTGAGACACTAGATAGAAACACTAGATATAGACACTCAACTGAGACACTAGATAGAGACACCCAATTGAGACACCAGATAGGGACACCCAACTGAGACACTAGATCTAGACATTCAACTGAGACACTAGATTGAAACACTCAACTGAGACACTAGATAGGGACACCCAACAGAGACACTTGATAAAGACACTCAACTGAGACACTAGATATGGACACCCAACTGAGACACTAAATAGAGACTCTCAACTGAGACTTGTAGGAGGTTATCCCGCTTCCACTTCTCTTGAGCTTACAACTCAATGGCGAGACACAACAAGCCAGCGGAAAAGACAAAAATAAACCCCACAACCAACCAACCAACTTCATAATGTATTGCTAGTAGTCAGATATTCCAACAATTTAGAGGTTTTAAACAAAAATGGGACAACAGTAGTCACGATACTATAAAGAAAACCACATTCTTCCTTCCAGCAATACAATCTCCGTCGGCATACAAGAAAAGAAAAAATCAAATCATGTTTGCTACGTGCAACTCGTGAAAATCGTTCAGGCTTTCAATATATTATAAAAACATCTTAAGCTGACCAATCTTTACACACTGTATCGACTGACCGACCGACGGTCATTAAAAATAGAATGACATACAATACACTAAGACACGGTCACCCAAGCCGGTTCAACATATGTGACTCACGATGACTACAGCCGTTTAACACATTTTAGTTGTAATGCACAGGTCACAACATTTTAAGGATATGTATTAAAATATTGGTCATTGTATGTAAACGTCTACATTTCAAAATGATGTAATACACGTATTTTTGTTATGTAATGACTTCAGTGTAAAAACTGGGAAAAAAAACTAAAAATGCCATAAATATTTGCGTATTTGACAGTAAATTACTTCTTTGTGACGTAAGGGTCATTGGGTCACGTTAGCAGCTGACTGTCGAGAACACGCGGTGATACTACACATCAATAGATAACACGTTTCTGAACAGATAATCGATATGTTTATCAAAGTATTTACTCGTATAAATCATTTTACACAACTTACCGTCGGCAAGAGACATTTTCGTGTCGTCGCCTTGAATTCGTGTCTGACAGTGGAAAGACACGCAACATGCAAGGTGCTCTGATGATTAAACTATACTGGAACACACTAAAAATAGATTCAACATCGTATACGTGTCAAGGTCAAATGTTCATTGAGCTGTTCGTGGTGGAATTTTACTATGGTATTAACGTTTCACATGCGCGCCAACGCCTATTGTGGCAAGTGCGACACAACAGAGACGTATATATGTCTCTGGACACAATCACAAAACTTTATCAGATCTAAACCAAATGTTTCATCTTCAAAACCTTTTTTCTTTCAAAATCAAAGTGAACTCAATCGAATTTCCAAATGTACGCGTGTATAATCGACAATGTTTTAACTAGAAAATCCAATATATATTAATGGATAACACTTATGTGCATACATTATTTTTGAAAACACCTTTTCAGAGTGAAATAGAGAAGGAATTAGTTACACTTATCTTTATTTACACTAATACTTTAATGGAGGTCCAACCCAGGGATTATTATTGATAAACACGAGACAACGCTGAATGTTCGGTTTTGAAAAAGAATAAATATTTAACCTACGTTATTTCTAAGCCCACATATTCCTTGTCTACACACAAAATTACGCGGTCACAAGAGTACACACTGTTATTTACGGCACTATTCAGTAGAGTATTGAACTACAATACACGGATGGAAAGCTGAGGAGAGCAGTTGCATTCTGACTACACGAGCGAATTGGGCTAAAATTGTCCTGGTGACATTGAGAAATTGGTTTAAAATCGTCATCTTGATAAATAAAGTTTCAGAAACTGGGCATTTGAAGAAAGTCTACGTTTGGTATAGAACGTATTAAAACATTTTCATAAAAATTAATGATTATGGTCCAATTTGACGTCGTTTCAGGGAGAGTCCAAAATATCGGGAGATCAGATTGTCCAAGTTTCCAATGATGCCGGAGGAAACTCGTCTCTAACAGTCTGCAAACATGTTGCCTTTAATTCACTTATAGAGATGATGAAAGCAATTAGTTCCGTAATCTCACAAAAAAAAAATTGCTGCCGAAAACGAGACGGCAATAACTTTGTAATCATTTGACCACAGTAAAATGACATATACGTAAAAAAATGCATTGAAAGTAAAATAATCGTGCCTGCAAATATGGCCTTTCGTAACTTAAGTTCATATTTATTCTATCAAATAAGGCTAGTGTTTATACTTAACAAACTCAATCATTTATATTCAATTGCGACTTAAAGAGATACAATTATCTCTCACCAGCTGCGTTAAGAGGAAGGTAGATGATATAAGATACACGTTACGATAGCTGCTGTTTACCATACGAATCTGATACTGAAACGCCAACCTCCCGTGTGGCTCTAATATCGTTTTATCACGTTTTGTTGGAATTGTGTAAGGACATACTTATCCATATAATGTTGAAAATAAAAGTTGTCATTTACATTAAATATAAGTATACGATCAGAACAGTATGTTCGCAATGTTTGGATGTTTTTAGTGATTTTCATACCTGTAACATCTGTCATTAAAATATTGTAGATGGCTCATATATCAGAAAAAACTTTCTGAACGTTATTCAGTTACAAACCGCGGAGGGTCCATGATGGTATCAGATCTGATCGTATCTTGCGTCCTCGGTTGTCTCGGAACTTCACTGTGAATGTCCGATTTGGATGAATGCGTTGAGTAAATCATAACCAACTAGGGTTAATTTCTAGAGGTTATTGTCTTGTGTTAATACATGTGTTACGTTTCCAGTTTAGATTGCATGCTTTTTCCTATTATACCATAGGTATTTACATCGTATTTTAAAATCCAGACTGGTCTGCAAAATCAAGTGTACGACTAGAATTGGTATGTGCCGTTTAATTAAACTTAAATGAATATCTAAAATTCCTTATTTAAACAACCATCAGTAATTGATGAGGCAATTGCAAAGAGATCAGCTCTTGAGCTTTGTCTCCAGGGATTAAACTCCATTACCATGAGAAAAGAGTTCTTCTTATGTCTTCTAATTATCACTCTTTTCAGCTTTGTGATTGTAACCTGGATTCATAGTTTTTTTAGTGGTATGAAAACTATTAGAAATCTATGGTGCTTTTCTTCCCATGCACAAATGACATGCCCCTAGAAGTGAACCAAGGAGAAAATAAAGGATAAAGTGCATAACAATATCCAAATGTACAAGCAAGTTCTAACATCTAGATAAAGTTTAGAAACATAGATGTGGTTACTGCAGATAAAAAAGAAGAACAGAGCCGAGCTTAATCATTGTTTAACGATTTATCGATACAGGATCATCGGTTTTACAGTTAGTCCCAGCAGAGCTGAAAATGAGTTACGAAAAATAAATATGTCTTTTGAAACCTTTTAATTTGTGTTCATAGTACTGTTTTATCCTTTTGTATCACATGGAAACCAACTTTATGTGAAATTTTCGGATTTATATAATTTTATGACTAAGTTTTTAATTGATGTTACATGTTCTTGATAAATGTTACATGTTCTTGATAAATGTTACATGTTTTTGATAAATGTTACATGTTTTTGATAAATGTTACATGTTTTTGATAAATGTTACATGTTTTTGATAAATGTTACATGTTCTTGATAAATGTTACATGTTCTTGATAAATGTTACATGTTTTTGATAAATGTTACATGTTTTTGATAAATGTTACATGTTCTTGATAAATGTTACATGTTTTTGATAAATGTTACATGTTTTTGATAAATGTTACTTGATAAATGTTACATGTTTTTGATAAATGTTACATGTTCTTGATAAATGTTACATGTTTTTGATAAATGTTACATGTTCTTGATAAATGTTACATGTTTTTGATAAATGTTACATGTTCTTGATAAATGTTACATGTTTTTGATAAATGTTACATGTTCTTGATAAATGTTACATGTTTTTGATAAATGTTACATGTTTTTGATAAATGTTACATGTTCTTGATAAATGTTACATGTTTTTGATAAATGTTACATGTTTTTGCAAACTTATCATGAGTACAATCTTTCTGAAAGAAGATGAAACTCAACCAGTTATGATAACATTCTTTTCTTCACATTTATGATTGCTGCACTTTCTTGTGCATGTTAAAACCAACTGGTCATGCAGCTATACTACAATATTGTCCTCTTCAGGTTATCAAGGCCCTGCTTAAGTCATTATCGATTTTAATTGCTCATGGTGTTCACCAAATTACACACTATGCAAATATGTTCAGACCTCGTATAACGACTCTTAACCAATAAATAACTGACTGTAGCCAGTGTTTAGAACAGAATTGAGCCAGGGAAATGCCGTATATCATTAAACTTCAACAACACAAGTGTTATATTTTGTATAATAACGTTGCTACATTTAAGTTAAATTGCCATCACGGTCAGATATTGGGGGAAGGTATGACGGTAGGAAGTTCATGTTGATCAGGATGTGTCTGTGTCCTTCACAAGGTTTTAATGTATATATTACAATTAATTTCTTATGATTCATCATCAACACCATTGTAGTTTGTTTTCATCGTCGTTGTTTACCAGATTTCAGCTCACAAGGTTAAATGTAAAGGTAACGCCATGGAGTGCTGAAGATGATCGTTTTACAGAGGTCTTATATAATACAACGACATGGATGGATGAAACTGCAGAATTTATTCTTTCATAGCCCTTACACCAGGAAAACATCAGAACACATTTTATTCCATTTAACAATGTACAAGTATATATGCATCACCTTCTGAAAATGCTGATGTTGCCAAAGATTATACAAAAAGCACACAAGAGAACAGCACTTTTTCATAATTTAGAGTAAGATACAGTAGAGCGAAACAATGGTTTAAACTGCATCATGCAGCTGCGCCGTCCTCCTAGGACTCGTCAGTGATGCTGAGGGCCTAAAATTTGAAGCCCTGCAGGCGAGTAAGGAAAATCAAAAGTGATTAAAAGAAAAGTCAAAATGATTTCACAAGTGTGTGAAGGCTGTGATGCTGAAAACAACATCCCATACAATTTTGATTCGACACAGAAAAAAGCAACATACACATGTCTAACAAGGAAGAGGCTTATATTTTGCACATCTGATATAAAATGGAAGTTATACATTCACATAACCTCTTAATTAGAACTATTGGTGGAAAAGAAGAAAATATTTGTTTAAATTAAAGAAACCCGTTTAACCTAAATCCCACTTAATCGAGAAGATCATATTATGGTGGTACTTCCTGCCAAAATATTTAGTAATCTGATAGATCACAAATAACGTATTCAGTTATTTTCGTTGTTCAATATCATGACATTTAGTGAAATTTGCATGAAGCGAAATTTTCATTAGTGAATTCATTATCTCTAGATATCGATTAACCAGCATTTCTGTTTGGATTAACTGGCGTAGAAAATGAGTTGATGTTCTTTTCAGCATTTGCTCAAAATCTTACACGTATTGCAATAAAGCATGTGTAATTTGAGATATCATTCAATTTCGAATTTAAAATAGACATGTCATAGATTGATATCTATTACCTTAATTGTATTCCTAACAAAGGAAATAAAAACCAATCTGTTCTACATTTGAATGCTTTTTAGCACTATTTCATAAAAGTAATGGTTCATGTAGAACACCTGTTGATTTCTCCATTAGTGTTACACCATACGTGTATAATCTACCAACAAGTTAATTCAAGTGAATTCAGTTTAAATATGTATATACCAATCTTTACCTATAATTATGTATATACCGATCTTTACCTATAATTATGTATATACCAATCTTTACCTATAATTATGTATTTACCAACCTTAATCTATAATTATGTATATACCGAACTTTACCTATAATTATGTATATACCGATCTTTACCTATAATTATGTATATACCGATATTTACCTATAAATTTATGTATATACCAATCTTTACCTGTAATTATGTATATACCGATCTTTACCTATAAATTTATGTATATACCGATCTTTACC